CATCTTGGAGACCAACGTCGTCCATTCTTGAGCGTTCTCGCACAGATTGTGGAGCGCTCACAAAATATCGAGTTGTGCAGCAAGATCTTGGGAATGGCGGAATCGTGGATCTTCCACTCCACCGAGTCATGGCCGACTCTGAAGGAGAAAACTGCTGTTCTTCATAAGATGTTGCTTTTCGAATCCCGACCTGATCAGACAATGCTGAAGAAGTTCCTCGACCTTGTCATTCGAATCTACGAAGACTCGAAAATCACTCGGACTGAATTGACAGTCCGTCTAGAGCATGCTTTCCTGATTGGCACAAGAGCCCAAGACGTCGAAATGCGGAACCGCTTTATGCAAATCTTTGATAAGAGTTTGACTCGTCTCGCGAGCTCGCGTCTCAGCTATGTCCTCACATGCCAGAACTGGGATACCCTTGCTGACTCCTTCTGGCTGGCTCAAGCATCACACTTAGTACTTGGATGTGTGGACATGACAACCACCGCCCGCTTGCACCATGAAGACTTCACCGTATTCCCTGTGTCGTTCCTCTTCGGCAGCGGAGAGAAAGACCCGAGGAAAGCCGACGTCATGGTTGACAACCAGCTGGAGACTTTCGTCGCAGACCGGAGGCGATTCATGTCGGATATCGGCGACGTGAGAGTCCGAGATCTGATCGAGCCTCTATGTCAGCTTCAACACACCGATTCGAATGTTGCGTACAAGTTGTGGACTACAGTCTTCCCTCTGTTCTGGTCCACACTGTCCAATAAAGACTGCATTGATCTAGAGAAGGACATGGTTACATTGCTCACTCGTGAGTACCATCACAGACAACTTGACAAGCGACCCAACGTGGTGCAGGCCCTCCTAGAGGGTACTGTCCGTGCTAGTCCCCGGTTCAAAATTCCTCCACATGTTATCAAGTATCTCAGCCGGACCTACGACGCATGGTATACTGCTGCTACCTACCTCGAGCAGACTGCCATTAATCCCATCATTGACACGCCCACTGTACGCGAAAGCAACCTCGATGCTCTCGTTGAGGTCTACGCAGGCCTCCAAGAAGATGACTTCTTTTACGGAACCTGGCGCCGCCGTTGCAAGTTTGTTGAAACCAATGCTGCGCTTTCGTATGAGCAACAAGGAATGTGGGACAAGGCTCAACAACTCTACGAGAACGCGCAAATCAAGGCTCGTTCGGGTGCCATGCCATTTTCACAGGGTGAATACTTTGTATGGGAGGATCATTGGCTGATCTGCGCCCAGAAGCTCCAGCAATGGGAGATTTTGAGCGACTTCGCCAAGCATGAGAACCTCAACGATCTATTGCTCGAAGCTGCTTGGAGGAACATTGAGAACTGGCAGAGTGAAGGTAACCGCGAGCAGCTTGAGTCATTGATCAAGTCTGTATCCGATGCTCCGACTCCGAGACGCACCTTCTTCCAGGCATTCATGGCCCTTCTCCAATACCACACCAAGAAGGACAATATCCAGGACTTCAACAGCGTTTGCGACGAGTCTATCCAGCTCTCCATTCGCAAATGGCTTCAATTGCCGAAGCGCATCACCAATGCCCATATTCCCATCCTTCAGCATTTCCAACTCTTGGTTGAGCTGCACGATGCAAGCCACATCTGTAGTAGCTTGGCTCAGACAAATGAAAGGAACCTGGATACCAAGTCTGCCGAGCTGAAGCTGCTCCTCGGAACCTGGAGAGACCGTTTGCCTAACCTGTGGGATGACATCAACACATGGCAAGATCTTGTCACCTGGCGTCAACACATCTTCCAGCTCATCAACGGCACGTACCTCAGTCTTTTGCCACCACAGACAAATAATGTGGCCAGCAACTCTTACGCCTATCGCGGATACCATGAAACAGCCTGGATCATCAACCGATTCGCGCATGTAGCTCGAAAGCACCAGATGCCAGAGGTCTGCATCAACCAGCTAAGCCGTATCTACACCCTTCCGAACATCGAAATCCAAGAGGCCTTCCTCAAGCTTCGCGAGCAAGCGAAGTGCCACTACCAGAATCCGAAGGAGCTGAACAGCGGGTTGGATGTCATCAACAATACTAACCTCAACTACTTCGGGCCGCAGCAGAAGGCCGAATTCTACACGCTCAAGGGCATGTTCCTCGCTAAGCTTGACCATGTAAATGAGGCCAATGAGGCGTTTGGAGTTGCTCTTTACTATGATCTCCGCCTTGCTAAGGCATGGTCGGAATGGGGACAATACAGTGACCAGCGCTTCAAGGCAGATCCGACCGACTATGAGCTTGCTAGCAATGCCGTTAGTTGTTACCTAGAGGCCGCTGGTTTGTACAAGAGTGCGAAATCCCGAAAATTGCTCAGCAGAATTCTCTGGCTTCTCAGTCTGGACAACGACGAAGGAAAGATTGCAAGTGCGTTCGAGAACTTCAAGGGAGATACCCCGGTGTGGTACTGGATTACTTTCATTCCTCAACTTCTTACCAGCTTGTCCCACCGGGAGGCGCGCCTCTGCAAGGCTGTCCTGGTCAAAATCGCCAAGTTGTACCCGCAAGCTCTGTTCTTCTTGCTTCGTACAAACCGAGAGGACATGTTGAGCATCAAGAAGCAGCATGACCAGAAGCAGGAGAAGCTGAATCGGGCCAGACAGCAGCAGCAAGGATCCTCGCCAAGTATAAAGTCTAATCCAGCTGGTGCCGACAGTTCTCCTGCGCAGAAAGCCCAAGCTGTGACTGCATCCCCGTCAGTCCCGCCTGCGAACTCACCTGCTACGCAGAATCCGGCAACCCAGTCCCCTGCACAGCCACAGAACCCCGTGCAGGCATCTCCACAAGCTGGCCAAACTCCGGGCCAGACACAGCAAATCCATCTGCAAGTGCCAGGTCAGACTGGAACACCGCAACTGAACCAAGCTGCACCGGCGGACGGCGAGAAGGAGCCTTTGAAGAAACCCTGGGAGTACTCAGACGAAATCATGTCTGGACTCAAGACGGCCTTCCCCTTGCTTGCTCTGTCTATGGAGACAATGGTCGACCAGATCCACAAGAACTTCAAGTGTCCTCCCGACGAGGATGCTTACCGACTCATCGTTGCTCTCTTGAACGATGGACTGGCCTACGTGGGTCGCATGCCTGGATCTTATGCCCAAGACTTCAAGCTACCTGCTGCGACAGAAGCCAACATCACCAGATTCGCAGAGACAATTCTCCCAGCTCACATTCGCAAGTCGTTTGAGGCGGACTTTGTTACCAAAAAGCCAACTATGAACGAGTACATCCAAAAGTTGCGGCGCTGGCGTGACAAGTTCGAGGAAAAACTCGATCGTAGGTCACAGCACACATTCCTTGAGAACTCTTCGCCTCACCTGAGTGAGTTCCGCTTCCTGAAGTTTGATGAGGTTGAGGTTCCCGGCCAATACCTACTCCACAAGGATAAGAACCAAGACTTTGTCCGCATCGACCGTTTCCTTCCCGATGTGGACCTCATCCGAGGCATTGGTGTCTGTCACCGCCGTTTGAAGATCCGGGGGCATGATGGCAGTGTACAAGCATTTGCAGTCCAGCATCCTGCTGCCCGTCACTGCAGGCGCGAAGAACGCATTCTTCAGCTATTCCGGATTTTCAATGGTCTGCTTGCGAAACGCAAGGAGAGTCGCCGCCGGAATTTGTACTTCCACCTTCCGTTAATGGTCCCTCTAGCACCACACATTCGCTTGGTGCGCGATGATTCTTCGTACATCTCCATGCAGGGAATTTATGAGGATTACTGCCGCCGCAAGGGTATCAACAAGGATGACCCGGTGCTATTCACAATGGACAAGATGCGGTCGTTGGCAGAAACCAAGCAGAATGTAAGTTTGCAAACCACCTTTCTCATAGAACAAGCTAACAATTTGCAGCGCACGCCCGATCAACAACAAGTCCTTCGTACAGAAATCTTGACTGCGATCCAAGATAAGTGGGTCCCGAGTACCGTGGTGTTGGAATACTGTCAACAGACGTACCCCAACTTCTCGGACTTCTGGCTCTTCCGTCGTCAATTTGCCTACCAGTATGCAGCGATCGCTTTCATGACCTACGTCATGCACATTGGTAACCGATACCCAAACAAAATTATGATCTCTCGTTCAACTGGCGATATCTGGGGTGCCGAGTTGATCCCCACCATCAATCCAGCCAAGGCATTCTTCTACAACCCCGAGCAAGTCCCCTTCAGGTTCACGCCAAATATCCAGACTCTTCTGGGTCCCATTGCGACGGAGGGTGTGTTCGCCTGTGCGATGATGGCAATCGCCCGCTGCTTGACAGAGCCACGACATGAGCTGGAGCAACAGCTCAGCGTCTTCGTGCGTGATGAGATGATGTTCTGGGCTACGGCTCAGCATCGCGGTGTCCTACCCCCCGGGCAACTCCGTGATCTAGTTTACAATAACAGCGAAATCATTGTTAACCGTGCTGTCAGCCTCGCCAGCCCGCCCGAGGGCAACCTACCTGCCAATCAGACCACCATCGATCTGATCTCCAAGGCAGTCAATCCCCAACACCTGGCGTCGTGCGATGCGTTGTGGATGCCGTATCTGTGAGCTAATGCTCGAGGTCGGCTTGTGTGTTTCTGTGCTTCCGGTTGGCGAAGGGGACTTCCTGTATGTCTATTGTGCTTTCTGAAGCGGTGGAGGTTCCGTCTCTGGGTTTATTTTTTCTGAGCGTCGGCGCAGCTTTACTTGACGTTACTATGATTGTGATACCGATTTCTTTCTTGCCTTTTTACCTTCTACAACATTGAATGTCTTCGATACGCTAGATATTAGCCTTGATAGTTATTAATTTGATTTCATTGTGATTTCATTGAAAATATGGATATTCTCCAGCCAGTTAACGCCTTCCCATCGTGATCATCGTCGTTCGAATTCAAATCGTCAAATTCTGACGATTGAATATCGGCTCGAACTCAGTTTCCCATAAAAAAAAAGCAAAAAAAAGAATCCTTGGCGCTGGCATGTGTTGGCCCATGTATTGGCCCTTACTGCTCCTTGGTTTGCTCCGCGTTGGCCTCGGCCTCAGGCTCCGCCTTGGGCTCCGCCTTGGGCTCGGCCTCAAGCTCCTGGCTCGCCTTGCGCTTGGGGATGAGCTGGTAGCCGCCGAAGGTGAAGGTTTTCTTAGGGCGAGGAACGCGCTTCTTGGGCTTCCAGTCATCAGGGTTAAAGGCGGGAGGGGGGCGCGGCTTGGCCATCTCTGCCTCAATCTCAGCCCGACGGTGGCGAGCCTTCGCCTCCCAGAACAGCGCGCGATCAGCCTTTCGCTGCTCCTCCTCCTCTCGCGCGGCGCGGAGGGCCTCCTGATCGAGGTCTTGTTGAACAGTAGCAAGAGCACTTCCATCAGCACGGGCTTCCTTGCGTTCGATGCGGGCATTGCGAGTTCGGATTTCGTCCAATGCGTCCGCGACCTTCATCTCGTGCTTGGAGTCCAGCATCTTCTCTTCAAGCTCGGCCATCTTGTCACGCTCCATTTGCTCTTCCTGCTCGCCGTATTTCTTCTCAAGTCGGTCGAGGGTCTGAGCTTCGGTCTCGGCTTTGTACTGCTCATCGTTCTTGTTGCGCCAAGGTTCGAAGTTGCGCTTAGCACCACGCTCGCATTCGTAATCGTTGTCTGATAGGCGTTAGTTAATAGAATCTCAATACAAATAGTGTTGGCGCGCGCGCATGGGGGGCGCCGCGGTGGGTGGGATAGAAGGGGTAGGGTGTGCGGGGATTGGGAGGAGAGGAGGAGGAGGAGGAGGAGGAGGAGGAGGAGGAGGAGGGGGGGGGTTGTGACTTGAGACTCACTCTTGGGATCAGTTCGGAACGTGATTTCACCGCTGCACCGGGAGCATCGAATGTAGAAGCGGAAAATCGGGATAGAAAGGTAGCTGTCATCCAGGGTCTCCTTGCGCGCGTTGAACTTGCGACCCTTCGGGATGAACTCGCCACAGTGAGTGCATTTCATCGAGAATGGAGTCATCAAACGACTATCGGCGAGTCGAGGAGCCTTTTCATTCTTGCGAGCGCGCTTGGCAGACTTTGGAACCGAATTTGGGTCAAAGTCAGGGGGGAAATACTTGGATAAGACCTTTCGTTCAGCCATCTTGTTTTAATGGATATGGGGAATGGGGGAAGGAAAGTTGGAAGAAGACATACCTTAGATTCTGTAGCTTTAGCTACGGGAGACATTTTGCGCACGGACCAATCGATAAGGCTTATCGGAAACAAATAAAATCACGTGGTGATGGTCCGAGCGTTGGAGAGTCGAAGTTTAAGAAAAAGATCACGTGCGAGGATCTGAGGTGACTTGTGACAGCCAACGCGCTCCTTCCTCACATGCGCGCTCTTTCGTCACATGTGCTCCTTCCTTAGAGTCTCTCAGTCTCCAGGGCTAGACCTGGCACGTACATAATCTATAATTGTACCCCATGGACATAATGTAGCTCCTCTATATTCAATATATCTAATTATATCCCTCTTGAATAGATGCAGGCTAGATCTAGATGATAATAGAACTGTTTGATATCAGTATGGTTTCGTGAATAGTATATCTAACCAATTTAATATATGTAATGTATTGTGTAGTGTCTACATATGTAGCTATTGCTACCTCTAGAACAAAAGTAGATACTGCTACGCACGGGCCACTGTTTGGATCAAAATAGAGTACGGACCCGCTCCAGGGCTCTGCTCTACCTCTACGTTACCTACTCACCTAGGAATATTTCTCTTATGCCCTTGGAGTCCTTTCTCTATCAATATGGAAAGGTTTCTGCGCTCCTGGAGGCAGGACGCGCTGAACCGGGGCCAGCATGATTCCGCAATCTACATTGGGGATAAAGTCCTGGCGCTCACCAGTAAGGACTACAGACGTGAAATACATAAAATACTAACTGGCTTGTAAAGATAGTGACTCTGATGCATTTTGGCTGGCCCAAGTACATTTCTCGAATAACAATTTCACTCGCGCCCTGGCCCTTCTCTCCCGCAAGGATCTCGTTTCTCGAAGCACTGCCTGTCGTTACCTGGCTGCACACTGCTACATAAAACAGAACCAATTTGAACAAGCTCTCTCCATTCTCGGTGAACACAATCCCACAGACCTGATTCGAAATAACCACACCCGACGCAAGATCCAACATCAGAGCCATGTTACACTTCGCAATGGGAAGAGCGCGACACCGCGGAATGATCGTGCCGAGGAGCGGGAACGTGAGGATGCAAACAACGTACGGTTTGAGGCTGCCATGTGTTATTTACGGGGACTTTGCTTCGCCAAGCAGAATGCGTTTGATCGTGCCCGGGACTGTTACAAGGATGCCGTGCGCATTGACGTGCAGTGTTTTGAGGCGTTTGACCAGCTGATGAAGAATTCTCTAATGTCTCCCACAGAGGAATTGGAATTTCTTGAATCACTAGACTTTGATTCTGTCTCCTCCCCCGATCCTATGATGGCACAAGAAGCCGCCCATTTTACAAAAATGCTTTATACGACTCGTTTATCAAAATACTCCTCTCCTACCATCCTCTCCGATGCCACCGAGACCCTATCCACACATTACAATCTTGCAGAGAACCCGGATATCCTTTTATCCCGCGCCGAAGCTCTGTATACACAATGTCGGTTTGCAGAAGCTCTGGAATTAACCTCCTCCATCCTCTCCACATCTCAATCAACCGACCTGGCCTCCACAAATCCTAGCATTCCGGCCCAGAACAACCTTGGCCATGCTCCAGCTATTTATCCACTCCACTTTGCTTGTCTTTACGAAACTGGTGCCACGAATGCTCTATTCTTACTCTCTCACATGCTCGCGGACCACTCCCCGGAGGAGCCTTACACATATTTGGCAATCGGAGTCTACTATCTTTCGGTATCAAAGGTGGCGGAGGCACGGCGCTTCTTCTCGAAGGCCTCATTGTTGGATCCCCATTCAGCACCGGCTTGGATTGGATTTGCGCACACTTTTGCCGCCGAGGGTGAACATGACCAAGCTATCGCAGCGTACAGCACTGCTGCTCGGCTTTTCCAGGGCAGCCATCTTCCACAACTCTTCCTAGGAATGCAATATCTCGCCCTCAATAACATGTCTCTGGCGCATGAGTATCTATGTGCTGCTCATGCTATGTCGACTGGAGCTGCCCCGGGATCTGTGCCTTCTCTCACACCTAATCCCTCAGGGATCGTCTCAGCTGTGGGCGGGGACCCACTCGTTCTTAACGAGCTTGGCGTGGTCTTTTACCATCAAAATCATCTTGGCGGGGCCGTCGAGTTGTTTGGGCAAGCACTGGCGCTCGCTTCCACTCTCCATTGCGAACCCAGTGCCTGGGTGGCTACACATGCGAACCTAGGCCATGCCTTCCGTCGCATGGGCCGTCTGTCTGAGTCCCTCCGTGAATTTGATGAATGTCTCCGCGTGGGCGCAGGAGGCAGCAGCATGGGCTACTCACCGTTTTTGGGTGGGGGTACGGGCGGCTCGGCGGCGATCGCAACCGCATCTGGGGTTGGGGGCTACGAAGATCGGGGCCTGACTGGTTCTCTTCATACATCTCGTGGCCTTGTGTTACTGGAGCTAGGTAGAACTACCGACGCGGTGACTGCCTTGCATGAGGCTGTACGTGTACTTGGAGCGAGTGGCGGCGGCGATGCAGCCGGGGGTGCAGGTGTAGCTGGTACATTACTTTCACGTGCACTGGAGTTGTGGGCCATGGAGGGGCGACAAAAGGATCGTGCGGCTTTTGAGGAGAGCATGCGGGAATCTAGTGCAGCGTCCACTAAGCGTCGAGGATCTAATCGATCTCGTGAACATAAGGGTAAAGAGCGGGTCGCCGCAGACGAGATGTCTCGACGACGTGGACGTCAGGAGCCCTTTGTGGAAGAATGGACGGATGAGGTGCCACATGTCGCCACACCTCAGGCCGAAGATGAGAAGGTTGAAATGGATCTTGACGAGGAAGCTGACGGTCTTTTACGCCGAGCTCTCGGCCGTGTACGACACAGTCGACAACGTCGACCAGCAGTACCTGCTACCCCGAACATGGATACAACTGAGACACCTGCTCCACCCAATGGCCGCAGTCGGGGGGTAAGACACGGCCGGAGTCACTCTGGACAATGAGGCTTTCCTGGTCCCTTTGAAATTTTGCTTTATTTTCCATGCATCACAGCGGGCGTTTTTCGTGGTAAGGAAAATGGCTTTTGGGTCAATTGGTCTCATACTGGACTAGCAGGCATAGATACACTCATACTTTGTATCTAGTCTGATTGACTAGAATGATCTGTAGTTCAAACCCCCTTTTAGCTAATACTATTATGTTAAGAGTATATTAAGAGTTACATATAGTATATTAAAAGATATCAAATGTATATGATAGACCAGGTTCTCCTCAGAGCCCCAAGCCACCAACGCCAGAGGAAAAGAGGGTTCACGCTTGTGGTCTTGGCATCTCTTTGTCTTTTTGGACCTTCAACTTCTTCTCTTCTTCTTTGATTTTATCATCTCATTTCTATATTCTCTATATTCTCTATATCTCGGTCAATCATTCCTATCCAATCAATATATCAAATCCAATAAGATCAATTCTTTGGAATCCAAAAAAGAAAAAGAAAAAAAGAAAAAGAAAAAGAAAAAACTAAAACGATGACGCCGCTCCCCCCCCCACTAGCGGGCTGAGGCTTGCCAATCTGTTAGTATTTGGGGGGCTTAGGGGGCGATCGTTCAATGTTGCCCATCATTACCCTTTCTGGGGACGTTTCAGGGCCTTGATCGTCGCCCCTTCTCTCTTTCCTTTCCAAGGTTCTTTCTTAGGCTACTTCCAAGGCTTAGACATTCTTTTTCAATTACATACTTCACACTCTTTAAACCCGATCACCTCTAGATCATGCCGTGCCAGTCTGGATGTTCACCATGACAGCCTCATTCCCAATCCGCCCGCGACGCGGCTTGTCGCTTCTCTGCGTCATAACCGCATTTAGCTTTAGCGTTGTTATGGTCATTTGGTTTGGTATGAACACTGACCGTGAATACATCCATCCTGTGCTCACACAATTAATCCCCGCCGGACACTGCGCATGCGAATCCTCTACTACCTTCCAATGCTCGACCTGTCTCACCTGCCCCGAACCCGCTTCCCAAGAAGAGATCACCCCCGCTTGGTCCTTTGAATACACTCGCGATGGTCGCAATGAGGCCCTCAGTGAGAGCCAATGCAAAGCTGCCTTCCCGGGATTATTCGAGGATATCGCGCGCGGACGCAAATTCTGGTCTTCACACGGTCACTTGTCATCGACGGAACTCGACGCGATCACAATCCAACATGGTATGGTGCGGGCATTCATATCCAGTGGGCAATTGTATGTGGTCACGGCACGGTCCAAGGGCGAGGATCACCGACGGAAAATTCTAGGGACATTGAGCTCAATCCACCGTGCGCTGGCCGCCGACCCAGGACAAGCTTCTCGACCGGACATCGAATTCGTTTTCTCTGTCGAAGATAAGGTGGACGATGTGACCAATTCAGAATGGCCGGTTTGGGTCTTTTCGCGAACGCCCACTGAACAAGGGGTTTGGCTAATGCCCGATTTCAGCTTCTGGGCTTGGGATAACCGCGACAATTACATGGGGCCGTATGACCAGGTGGTGGAACGAATCAAGCGAATGGATATCCCTTGGTCTGAGAAAACGCCTCAGTTGGTCTGGCGGGGCAAGCCTAGTTTTGCGCCAAAATTGCGACGCGCGTTGATGGAGGCCGCCAGAGATAAACCGTGGGGCAATGTCAAGCAGGTCGATTGGAACACTGGTTCCAACGTCTTGAAGATGGAAGATCATTGCCATTATATGTTTATTGCGCATGTTGAAGGTGAGTTCAATCTATTCTTTCCCGCCACTTGGGGATGCTGACACACCTTTTTAGGTCGCTCTTATTCGGCTTCCTTAAAATATCGACAGGCCTGTAATTCGGTGATTGTTGCACACAAACTGCAATTCATCCAACATCACCACTATCTTTTGGTGGCAGATGGTCCCAACCAAAACTACGTCGAGGTCGAGCGCGATTTTAGCGATTTAGCCGAAAAGATGGAACCTCTGGTCGCCAACACCGAAACCGCCCGACGCATCGCCAATAACAGCGTCACGACTTTCCGTGAGAGATATCTGACCCCCGCCGCTGAAGCCTGCTACTGGCGATCACTGTTCGATGGCTACTCCAATGTGTGGAACGGGACTGTCGAGCAGTGGTCCAAAAGGGATGATCGCGAACGAGGGCTTCGATATGAATCGTTTGTTCTTCTGGAGAGCGTGAAGATGTACGAATTCGACGCTGCTATCACTGAACAATGGCAGGCTATATTATGATACGCCACCAGGATACGACAGACTACATACCTACAATAATGTGTTAATATCTGATCTCTTGCGAGGTCAGGATAGATGCGTCCGGTGATTTTTAAGGCGTTTCGGGGTCTACCCCCATGTGATACCACGAGAGCGATTATCTTAGACAATTGAACAAATTTAGCGATCTGATTTCCCTTTGTATAGAGTTCTTCTCTATCTTCTACTACAGCCACTTATCCCAGCTCTGTTCATTTACCAACTCATCTAGTACTCAGCCATTTGCACCTCAATCAGTCTCTTCACGACTTCAGCTCAGTCAAAATAACTCGACAACCCAGCGGAGCCAGAATCCCACCCTGTTCAAGTCAGCATATACAAATAACCAGAAACAAATGAAAACATACCGGTGTCATCTTCAACTGATACTCAGGATCAACAACCCAACTAACCCTTCGAAGTAAAACAAACAACAAAATCTTCACCTGCAACAACGCAAACCCCTGCCCAAGACACTTCCGTTTATGCGCATTAAACGGAATATAAGTTCCCCTAACCGTCTCCCTCCTAAATCTCCCCTGAATCTCCTCAACAGTATCCCCCCATCTCTCAGCCTTGAACTCCCGCGCATCCTTACCCCATACAGCCGGATTACTATGCACAGCCCACGCATTCCATCCCACAAACGTCCCCTTCGCAATAGGAAGTTCCCCGCCAAGCATAGCCGGCTGCAAAGCAACACGATTAATGAGCTGACAAACAGGCGGGAAAAGACGAAGTAACTCCAAAACCACAGCTGTCAAGTACGGGAGACTATTGATGATTTCCTGCGATGGATTCGGGTGTGTCTTTGCTGTAGCCATAATCTCCTCCCGTAGTCGATCCTGGATATCGATGCGAGTACCCAGTTGCCAGAACATAGAGGTCACAAGTTGTTGGGCGTTTTCATGGGCTGTCAGAAAGGTTATCTTTAGATTATCCCGGAATTGTTTCTCGTTTATTCGGCCGGATTTGTAGGCTTCACCCAGCATGTGGGAGACCATTTCTTCGGGTTTGTTTGAGCGGTTCTCTAGCATGTTCATTATCTTGTCGTAGAGCCGGTTGTCGAATTCGTGCATTATATTGTATGCCCGTTTGCGTGATGGGAGTAACCATGGGAAATGGTCGAGATCAGGGAAACTGAAGTACATGGGTTTGAAGAGGGTTGCTTTGATGATTGATTGCAGGGCTTCGATTCTGACAGTGCCGTTTTGGTTTCCCAGACTCTGATTTAGTTAGTTTTCATTAAGTATTGGTTTATCTCCGCATGACGAGTTGATATACCTTCAAATCCAGATCTAAGAAGTTCTCACCCATCACATCTACAGCCCATTTCTGTACATCGTCATTAACAAGTATCCCCCTATTCTCCCCAGTCCTCTTCTGCAGATCGATCAAAACATCAACCAACTTCCTTGATTGCTTCAACAAAGAAGTCGTCTCGAAAACCTTCTTCTGTAATCCCGCTTTCATAATCCCCGTATAAAGTCTCCAGTTCTCGCCATGCGCATTGATGATATTATCACCGACCAAGGTCGCAATAACAGCATGCGGAATCTTAATCTGACTCCCGGCTTTTGCGTAGATATCTTCATTGCGGAACATATCGGTTAACCAATCTGGTCGTGAAACGAGAACACTCCATCGACCCGCGAACCAGACTACCACGGCACCGTGTTTCTCTAATGGTGTTCTGAACCAGCGTTCGTATATTTCATCTTGGCCCATTGAGGACCAGAGGCCGAGGATTGAGACATAGATTGGGATTCGAGGGAGGTTGGGGAGGGTTCGGGGGATGTGGAGGTACCAGATTAGGAAGAGGAGGGGTGGGAGGAGGAGGGTTAGGAATGTGAAGAGGAGGATGGGGTAGGCCATGTTTGGGATTTGGATTGGAAATTATTGAAATGGGGTTCTGTTACTCTTGATACTATATAGAGGCACTTGAGTGTTGACCTTGGCGCTTTGTGCCCTAATTAATGCACTTGGTGTCAGCGGAAGTCAAAACTCGAGTACTGATGACACACTGTCCACCGTGACTTTGGTCACATTTTGCTGGATTTACTGTTGGCTTTGGTTTTTGAGGTAGTTTGGTATATCGGGTTTGTAATGCGGTCTACGCTATGTTGTCTAGATCCAGGGAGCACGGGATCCAATAGGTAACATAAGTTGCAGTCTCATAAATAGTGGTGGCATCCCTTCACAAAGGTTATAAAATGTGACGTCTGGTGGCAACTTAGTTTGGAGGTAACTTGGGAACCTTGGAAGGTAGGCATATGTGGCTGTCTAGGCAATTCCTCATTGGGAAACATGTCCACATTCCGTATCGCAGTGCCCTCAGGCCCGTCGAAGTGACGCTTGATCTCTGCAGGTGCAGGGTGATGAGAATTTATTATATTGTTTCTTCTTCTAGCTAATGATGGCAGTCGATTATCTTCTCTTGCTCTGGATATAGGGCCTATATCATGCCTTGAAGCTGGCTATACCAATATCCAAATGACCCGTTTGTATGTGGAATACCTGACGTTGAGGTTCTCTATTTAGACGATGAGAAATCTGAATTCAACCGTTTTCTTGTCGGTCTCTGTGAATGAATATTCAGTGGCAATACACTTTGAACTCTAAGGGAGCTCCAACCCTGCTGACTTGTTATACAATCTTAGTATAGGCGCTAGATGGATTACTTCTATACTGTATGCATTGGGATATGTAATTTGTTCTTTAGGTGATATTAAAGCACAAATTTACATTCTCTCAAGAGTAGGGATTTCAGTTGGTTTATCAAGCAGAGTGGAGATGTATACTAAAGACAAAATGATACCAACAGTCCAAAGAACATGATATCAACAAATGATTACCCACTCTCTAGCTGCAGTCACTAATCCCCAAAATAGTGTAAGATAGTCGTAGTCTAGAGTCCTGCCGAAAGTGTAGCAGACAGCGAGAATCCATAAACCACAGTAGCTATCATAGCGATAGCATTCAAATGGATGGCCATTGCGTGATTTCGCGCGAAGTTGCGGTTAGCCCGATGCACCTTCGACCCATCGGGGTCAGCATCAGTGTTCTCGCTTTCTGCAGGTAAACGGATGTCAGACGTATAATCGGAGGTGCGTCAAGATAAACTCACCCTGTAGCGCCCTCCTGACCAACATCGCAGTGATAGTCCGAGGCCCGTAGATGAACCAATTCAGGCATCCCGTCAAACCAGCCACAGCAAGAGGAGCTACACTCCATGGGTCCTGAACCAGTGAAAATATGCTGTACGGTGGGTGTGTTGCTGCCGTCAGCGCTGTGAGTCCGACCTGGGTTCCGAAGTAGATGGGGAAGAGGCGCTTTTGGAGGACGATGAACTCCTTCATTGGTAAGGCTTGGTAACATATTTTTGTATTTACGAAGCTCTGTATGTGATTAGTTCACAGGATCGCTTGTGTCGTCGAGGGGAGGAGACGTACCTGGTAGAGCTCTGTTCCGAGGAGAGCGCCATAGGAGAGAAGGTGATATGGGAGGAGGTTGCCCACGGTCTTGAAAAAAGAATCCATTGTATCAAGTGACTCTGAAAGGATATGACTGAGACTGGAAGAGTGGAAGAGTTGGAGAGTTAGAGAGAGGACGTTGGGGGTTGGCTGGAAAGTTTTCTTGGCGTCTTAGTTGAGATGTCGACCAAGTCAAAGGATGATGGACGTTAGTTTTAATTGCAATTACAGTCATTTGCTTAGATTGTCTTAATCTACTCTGATAGGTTGTTGCATATAATATCTAAGATATTGGCTTATATTCCATATATTCTATGTAACCGATATATGAAGTTCATATCACACCCTTTCTATTCCACAAAGAAAAGTCATTTGTGAGATAAAAGAGGGCAGTTACACAAATCAATTTTGTTCCAGAATTCAATCCAGCGACAAACAAAACCGGATCTTCCGCGAGTCCATAGAGATCTCACATGCGTCCCGGGAGGACGGAGAGGCACATGGCAGTGCCCTAAATCCACAAACTTGAAACGGGTTCATTATCATTCCGGGTTAATGTGCCGAGAGCAGAACTCAGCCTGACAATTCTATACGGAATTGCGTAGATGGCTTGATGAGTTCTTTAGCGCCATATCTCGGACTCTTCTCCCAACTAAGAAGGCAATGCAACCACTCCAAAATCCAGAAGTTATGAGACTGGTTTAATTTAAACCCCCGGAGTATATCCAACGTGAGCTCATTTTTGCATGAGGGGCTACGTGTCTTATTTTTAGACTTCAAATTGGGTCAAGTTGTACTAACCTGTCACCACAGCCCTGTCTTTCTGTGAACTGTTTATGAGGAGACTCATAAAGCCCAATAGGAGATCTTCTGCCTCATTCTCAGCTTGAGCACAACATCGATATGCCACGTGTGGTGTAATCAGGGACGGCTGAATTCGGAGATGCCCGAATCAACAAGATACATCGACGCCACATGTGAAGTATAAGTAGGCGGGGATAATGATCAAAAGTACTGGAGACAAGTACGTTACTGGGGCAAAAGGTAACACGGTCTTGCCATGCCAAGGGGTCCAAGGTTGGCTCAGAGTCCTTGAGCCATAGATGTGGATCAGAGCGGAGGGTTTCATCGAGTCTGCCAGATCCCAGACTGTTGGAAAGATAATCTAGGGCATCATGTCCTTGCATACGTTCAGGCCGGGGATAGCCTCTTACGCCTCGTACGACCATCCTGAAACCTTCACCCAGAATGCGCAAGTCTGCAGATGTTCGTTCTAAAATAATCGGCAAGCTGAGAAAGGTAGGTAGTTTGACGTGGCTAGACCGAACATCACGCGGCTGAGAAGGAGGTTGAATCAGTGACTTTCAAAGATTACGGACACTTGTTGTACAGGCTGAGTGACACAGTGAGATCAGGCGTGATTTTCCTCGTGGGCGCACGGTCTGTATAAAGCGAAGGGAAGTGATGAATCTCTTTTGTTTCTGACTTCCCGCGCTGAACCTTGAAATCACTATCGACATTTATATGATGCACCATCCTCGAACGCGATATCAGTCAAGACTCTAGTACAACCATTTGCAAAATGAAGGTGGAAGATCAATCTAGTCCCAAGGATGAGGATATCCTCAGCCAAACACAAGATCCGCTGGAAAGAAGGAGATTGCAGAACCGGCTTTCTCAAAGAAATCACCGTAAGATATTGCCCCAAACATAGAAAGCAGGCTTGGAACTGACAGATCCCAGGTCGCAAGATCAGAGAACGCATCGCTAAGCTTCAAGAGCGCGTAATCGCCAACGAACTCAGAGCGGCAGCTGCTCTCAACGGATGGGATCAGGCATATAACCCGTCACTATTCCCAAGGTCTCAGTCCTCCTCGGAGAATGAACTCGGCTTTACCTCGAGAGATGTCTCCCCTTTAATCCCAGACCAGTGCACTCCATTCATGCCACCATATCCTCTTTTCTCCCAAGCGTGGCCAAACGACTTCAATACATTCCCGCAAAATGGGTATCCTGGCGATCTATCCCAATTTACCGGAGTCAGTGAAGCGAGTCCAAGATCCCCTGCGACAAGCGCTCCAGCACAAACCCACAGCATGTCACCACCCAGTTCTGCTCCCGGAGACACATACAGGGAAATGATAGGAACCCCGGAGGCTTTGATACCAGACTCCTTGTCTACATCAGCACCCAATCAGCCGCTGTACTACGTTGCAACTGGTCAGTACTCTAGCTATGAGTTATTGAAATTATCATATCAGACAAGTAACTGACAAAACGCAGAAGCCGCATTGCCTCAAATAATCCATGTCATCAACACCATGTCTCCCGAATACAAAGTGATTGTTCTGGTTCCTCCAGAGTCGCCAGCATCGGCTTCGATACCTTCGTTCCCTTCACCAACCTCCCCCTATGGTGGTCATAACGGGCCGGATCATGGTCCTGCAGCACAACAGTCTACCTCCCAAAACTTGGGTTGTCTGTGTTATCCCCACAATATCCACTCCACACCTACGCAGTTTGCTTCAAGGCCATGGATGGGCGGGGGGTCATATACGCAAACTTGTCCTCTGCACAAGGTGGCCAATACAGTACCCCCGAGGGGACCCTTTCCTGTCAGGATGCTGTGAGTCTGTCAGGTGTGTACAAAGATAGAGGTGGTAGACACGGGCAGTGGGATATATGCAAAGAGCGGGCATTGATACATTGTTCATATACCATGATTTATATTATGTAGAGAACAATACTTATAGCCTTCTACCAAGACTAGTTCACAATAAGTCCGATCTCGGTGAATAGTGAAAGAGACAGTATATTAGGGTTGGCTGTACAATGAGCATACGTTGACGCATACTTATGACCCTCACAAGATCCACTGGAAGACACCATTTAGCGAGAGAATAAGCCAAAAAACTATCAAACACACTTTATGCTTAATAGGCAGACTTGCAGATTTCCTAAAAGGGCAAAAGGGGAAGAATCAAGGTTTAGTAGACATACTGACCAACGGAAGATATTGATACCCTCAAAATCTATTGGATATTGAAGACTTGTGTAATTGCTTCAAGATACTCGGCGAATTCTCAAACATAAGCCAAATATGTGAAACGAGTGACCAGACGCAGAAACGAATGACAGACACGAACAGAGCAAAAGCCAAGACACACATCTCAGTCACAGTGAATTCGCCACAGTTCCCGATCACAGTCACTGATATATCCAGTGCGAGTATGCAACATAGCAGTGTTATCACTAATCAATAGATCACCCTTCTCCCAACCAAAGCGAAGACAAACTCTATAGTCATATGTAATGCGATCCACAATCTGAACCAACTCATTATCGTCATTCTCAATCGTAACATCACACGTTGAGAATTTAGTCTTAGTCGAGTCCCAGGGCTGATGCCAACGTAGACACGGAAGTCCAGAAACAGGATGTTTCACGGTCAACGGTAGATTCTTTAGTTTCGCATCCCAGAATCCATCGTTATCCATAGCCCATGTAACTTTCTCAAGACGCTCAGCAGTCCACGGGAGAGGCAGGTACCGGAAAAACAATCTGGAGCTCGCAAACAAGGTGTATCCATTGCCCTTTGGCGCGGTGGCGGGGCAAGTGAAGAATTGATAGCCAGGTGGGCGTTGGACTTTCTTCTTCTCGCCCGTTTCTGGGTCCGTGATCTCGTCGAACTTGAACATCCCGTCAAAATGCATCGGCATAGCCTCGTTCGATGTCACGTTGTTGCCCATCTTGTCAGAACGTCCGTTGTCCCGTACTTTTTGGATTATACCGAAACTCCACGGGAGAATAGTGCCCAGCTCTTCGCCCTTCTTGACGTAGAGTTCTTCCTCTAGAGTCTCGGAGAATCCACGTAGGATAATTGGTGACATGCCGTTCGATAGCTGACGGACCTTTTTCATGGGGATGGAACGGATCGACGGCCGCGGATTGACATTGTCGATATCCGCAGGGCGGATGATCAGTCCGCAGGGGTAGAGATGCTCGAACTTGACGGATAGACCGTTCTCCGTCCAGTCAAAGACACTTGACTTCTCGCGGAAGAAATATGGCTGTCCGTTTTTATAAATCAGGTCGTGCGTATCGCGTACGTCTTCGGCATGGACAGTGCGATATGAACCGTCCTGCCCGACAGCCACAGAGGAGTGCCAAGGTGTATACCCCAGTGTACCTCGAGTCTGTGGAATAAGCGAGACAGAAAGCTTTCTCTCGCCAGCGGACTCATGGATCGACAATCGGACGTAGTCTTTGCGGTTGGCTCTGATAGCCGCCGCGAACATTTTGCCTCGAATGATCATTTGTCGTGCCGTATCGGCAATCTGTGCCTGTCGAGCGCGTTTTGACATGGTTTTGGTCTCCTCCTGATGGGCTAGATCTTTGGTGAGGAATTTGATGTAACCGCGGTATGTCAGGCATGTATCATTGTCGGTTTTGATAGCCTCCGTCGCGTCGAAGCTGGGGTCGGCAAAGGTGAACATCAGTTCTCGGCGGAGACAGCTGGCGTGAGCCAGATAGACTGCCTTTGCGGCCTCTGGAGTTGAAGATTGGAACCATGGGTGCTTGAGAAGTTCGAAAAGTCGAATGAATTTGACGTGATGGAGCTCTTTCTCAATGGCCATTTTTCGTAGGGTCTCTCCATAATCCCAAACGGTTTCATCTGGGACACCTAGAATATCTAGCAGATGTTAGTATTAAGTGCCTATATCTTGTTGATCATTTTTCCTTACCATTGTATACAAGTCCATCCGAGCTGATGTACACATCGGCGCCAGGGGCGTATACTTCACCGATGTTCTGGCAAAGTCCGTTCAAATGGGCTAAGGCCAATTCTTCACCGAAATCGGGCATATTTCCAAGCACTTTACTGCTTGCATTGGGTGACTTAAAAGGAAATGCAGGCAAGGTCATGCGGATTGGCTGCTGTTTCTCAATTTGATCCGAGACAATTGGAACGAACGACTCAAAGCCCTTCCAGGAAATACCGGGCTTCTCAAAATCAACACCGTAACTTTCGATAATCTTCAACACATTCATAGCCATCACCTCATTTTCCGACATTCCATTCGAGATTTCAGAGGCGATCGGTCCGTCAACCACTTTTTGTGCGTGATGGTTACCATTGCCGTTTGGGTTGATAGTCGAATCGGTGCTGTCATATTCAGACATGGCCTCCACATCCATCTCCATAGTGGCTTTCGTAGGCATTCGATTCTTGAACGGACAAATTTCATTCTCGGCGGGGTGGTATGTAGTGGGAACAATGTCCGCACCAGGTGCCAAGGCGACCATTGTGACTTGAAATGGAATGTATGTTTCCAAAGGAGATACTCTGGGCCAGTCACTGTTCTACCCGGAGAAGATATGAGAGAAAAGCGTTGTTGTCAAGTAACTGTGTTGGTCTCACTTGAGTCCTGAGAGAATAGACAAGATGTGTCGTTTTATCCAGAACCAGATGGTGCTATATAACCAGCATCAGCTAGAACACTGACCTCGGGACAGGAAATCTAGAAAGTTCGTCCCTCGTTCCGATGACTGTAACTCCTGATGCGGACTAAGAAGTCGAGTCTTAGGTTCAACCTAGGGCATCCCAGGCATGAATGGAAATCACACTGTACAACTCGAGGACATAATTTTCTACTCTGTTACCCTATTAATGTCACTAGGGTGGAGGGGATTTCTTAACAAACCTTTGCTAACTTAGTAAAAGGCTTGAGGTTGAATGATGCCCAGATGCGTATGGGAAGCTTAAAACCAGAAAGCTTCACTTATCCTTTCAGTAGTGTCAGCACAGCTGGCGTAGAACCGGAGAATGAGGTGGCTTGAGGGATATTCCTAGAGTAAATGATCAAGTCCTCGATTATCCAATGGGTCTGATGACTAGGGATGCATCAAAGTTCCAGATTGAATAAGCGGAATGGCCTATATGTGTCGATGAGGCTACTTTTCCAAGGTTGTCTCGGGATCCCTGCCAATGCTAGGTAGTAATGACAATCCTATTTGGACAATCCTATGTAGATTCAAGACACATGTAACCTTTGTGACTTGGATCGCTCGAATCTAAGCGGCAAAACCAGTCTAGTCCAGAAGGTAGTCGTAACATAAAGTCCTCTAGCATGAGACTATGCCCGTTCATTAACGTAAGAGTATAGAAGATAATAATTCTGACAGCGTGCTAGACTTTCCGGGCTGAGCCACCAAGGTATGTTTACTTGTTTCTACTCGTGACATACATTGGGTTTACAACTTAGAGCTGAAAATAGTACAGAGAAGCGTATATTGTCGGATTGGACAGGGCTAAACACACGTGCTGTGATACCTCTGCTGTGTTCAAATTCGATTTCAAGCTAGTGCTTGGTAAGAGATTGATAATATATCATCCATCACCAAGCATGCAGCTCACTCTTTCAGCTCACGCCAGTCATACTCCATAAGTCGAGTGATGAATCTCGCCATGTCATGTGTTGTCAATTGACTAACAAGGTAGCATGTGGCGTCTAAGCTTGAGCTTACTCCTCCCGCCGTAAGGAGGCGAACACCGCCTCCTTTCAACAATCCTCCATCAAGATACCGCCTATGCAATACAGTTGTAGCAGGCTCATTTGGATGATTGTAGTGAGAACAGATATCCCGAAGTCTGTCGACACCATGGTGGTGGGTCGTCACAGTCATTCCGCCGAGTACACCTGCAGCGCCGAGCAGAAAGGCGCCAGTACAAACTGACAGCAAGATTCTGGGGCCTAATTTATTTGCAGGTAGGGCTGCAAACTTGCGAATCAAATCAAGCTCCGGTGCGTTGGTTTCAATTAATGGCTGTAAAATTGGTGGCGGGCCACCTGGGATGACCAGGATATCAAAATCCGAAATCTGATCGACCGCGTCTGGTAAAAGCAGGTCTGCGTGGACTGTAAGTGAGCTTGCAGCACGAATCGCAGGGCTGCAAGCGACAGTTTTGATATCGAACATTCTATCGGGGTTTTCTGGGTTTCGGTTGTGCGAGACATGGGATAAAACTTCGATTGGGCCTGCAAAGTCGAGGATGTCTGCGCCGGGAAATAGAAGAACCCCGACTTTGTAGTACTTGTAGGATTCAGAAGACATGATGACAAATTGTGATCTGGTCTTGCACGTAGTCTTTTGGTGGAAGGGGAAGAATAAATAATAGCAGGTGATATTGCTGGGTTTCGCTTGAGATTAGAAAGAGGTGAATTTTACCTCGGAGCATTTCTGACTCTGCTGACTCCGGCGTAAATAAGCCGACTTGTACGACTTGGATCTCCGCATTCACCGATTCGACGGTTAGAGGTTCTCGCAAGCTGGCCAATTGCATCGGTCGTCCGTAGTGCGCTTAAGAATTAAGCTGTCTCGGATGTTAGAGCAGGGAGTCCGGGGATGTAAATGTCTCACATTGAAATGATTCCATGGGTTATCCAGGGACAGAAGAATAAAATTATAGGAATTAGCGGTTCAAACCCATTGGCATAGAATCATGAAGACGTACTATATTGTAGGGAAAGGTTGTGCCTGGGGCCACTAACAGCCCATTTGGATAAGCTGCAGTTCGTACTCTTCTTGATATTATCAGTTCTCGCCTTCAGGTGACCGTTAATATACCCAGGTCTTCTAGTCATATCTTGATCCAGGCTTGGTATATACCTAGATCCCAGAACACCAGCCCCCAAGACGACGCAACGACTCTGTATTGCAAGCGCCATGTTCTCGCGAGGATAATCTCAAAATCATGAGAGCATATCAAAGTCATTGATCTCATTTGTAGTTAAAGACAAACGTCCCGATTTCATGAACTTAGGGCTATTATTAGTCATACGATTCCCCGCGTCTCCGGGGTGGTGGACACTCCGCTATGCAGACAGTAGAATGATGGAGATGAATACACCGTCATAGGCGAGTTGTCGTGTTGCCTCTTAAGTGCTGAGCGATGATGCAATTCGCAATGCTGCTCTAACTGGAGGAGCGCAGTTGCATTTACGAGTGCATTAGAGATCTACAGCAAGTATACTAGGTTCGAAACATTGTGATACTGTGAAGATTCTATAAAGGTATACACATACCAAATGCCCAACGGCGTGTATGACATCATACTGAAGAGCCCATTCAATACGTAGAAAAAAAAAGCCGCCCTTCCAAATTCAAGAAAACGAATTTTCAAACATAACAATCATGAGATGACCGAAAAGACACTCCAGCGCCGCGCTGAAGAAAAACAATCCAAAATTAAACGCTTTTCCAGTGACAGGTCGTCCTTGATCGCTAGCCCCACAGGGGTGGATGGATATACTCAGCTGCGCGATCCAGTATATTGGGCATTGACCATTCACCACTCCCAGAGCTTTCTGGTGTAGGAGGCGGAAGAGAACCAACGCTGGGGGTCAGGGTTGCTGACCCAGGAGCAAGCGTTCCCATGGAAGCGGAAGTCGGGTTGAGGTTAGGATGAGTAGTGGGGTACACGGGCGTACCATTACGTCCTATTGAAGGGCGCGTGTTGGGATTCCCGAATGCGGCAAGAAGTTTTTGCAAAGCACGATGGGTTTTCGCGAGCGACTTGGCCCACTGCGTTTGTGTATCAGGGGGTATCCCACCCGGAGAAGTTGGATCCACCGGAGCGATGGGGCCTGGGGGGTTCGTGGTGCCCGTGATTGGGTCGTAAGTACCAAGGGTTTGGGGCGGCGAGGTCATACTGGCCACATTGGGGGACTCAGTAGAATCATAGGCTCGCTCTGTGCTCGCTCTTTGGGCAATGATACTTTCGAGTGAATGGAGAAGGTTCCATACATTCGGGTCCGCTTTCGCCTCATCAATGACAGCAAGCAGGAATGCGGAGCTGATCGCCCGCTGCAATGCGATCCAGGAACGAGCGGCGTGGGAGCTGATATTGTGCATTTCAATGTAGGCTTCAACGGTTGTCATCAGATTCATCACGCAATTTTCGCGCATGCTGGCTGCGCTGGCGTCACTCAAATCAGCCATGGGTTTGAGCGCTGGCCGGCAGAGCTCAGAGGCGAAATAAGAAGAATGCAATTTCAACACAACTCGCTCCAGATGCTCCGTAGACGTAGAACAATTTCTTGCGTCTCGCAAGTACGGTTTTGCCTCTACCATAATCTTCTGGATGCGTTCCTTATAGACTTGTATACTTTCCAAGCTTATCTGTGCGTGTGGGCTCAACATGCGAATGCGGACAACCTCTAGTGCAAGAGAGATGACACGAGAGAGAGTCTCAAAATAAGATAAATCACCGGGTTTTGAGCCATCCTTGTAAGCGATATCTGGTTGGCTCACTGCAGTGGTGGAAGGACGATCGTAGGAGAGCGAAAAATGGCTGTCTTGCCATGCCATGGACCACCTATTTATGTCAGTGCCATATACTTTCTAGTTGAGATGTGAGAAAAGATATCTTACCAGACATGTCGTCGGCGATATCGTTCAGCTGACGAGAATCGACTTGACTCCACATGGAGACCAAGTGCCAAGCCCATGCGGAGAGTCATGCCAAGCAAGACATAAGAAATTCCGGGGTTCATGTTGTATGACAAAACGTTCCCTATCACCAGGAGAGTTTGGATTGCCTCTATTGTGGGCTGGGAGAGAAAATTGGTCATACGGAGGCACTGGTAGGAGCAGCACACTGTTTGGGGTGTTAGCTAACGGCTTCAATGAAATTCTTAGCGTGTATCACATACCATAGACTTGCGAGGTCAATTCCCTTTCCTTGCTCCCATAATCGGACGACTGGCATCCAGAGGCAAGGATGGCGAATAGTAGTCCCAGGTACGCAATGCTCACACCAAGAGGCTTTTGTGCTTCATCTGCATTAGCGACGTACTCGCCACCGATGGAGGTTCTTGTCCCCAGTAGAAGCTCGAGTGTGTTCTCAAACTCAAAGATATCTTCTAAAACAGGATAGATGGCACCCGAAATGTCCTTGTAGTAGTAGAATAACCTATAGCAAGAAAGCAATGTTAGCGCGAACAATCCCGATCAGAAATTAGATTCGAAAAGACTACTCACTCTCGGCACTGCTGGTCACTGGGAAGGGCGCTGCAGACGGCAGTGATATCAAATGTTGACATATCAGACGACCATAGATCAACAAATGGATAGGTTGCAGACTCATTGTCCAAACCGAGCTTCGGCAGGATTCCTCCTTCCAAAAGTGCTTGAAGTTGATCAGACCCGGACTGGTTGTTCAGAATGTAAGCCAGAACAGAGCGAGATCCTAGATGGACAGTGCCTTTGCCTAGAGTATTGGCAGCGTGGATACCCTCGCGTTCCGGTGAGGCACACTTCGAACGGGAACTCGCATCAGGACTCGGCACGCTTGCGGTGTCCATGGAGGCCGGGAGACCATCTTCCGCCCTCTCCAACCCAACTCTAAGGGAGGAAATGGTAGATTCCATTTCTTGCAATCTGTTGCGCACATTATCCCATTCCTCGCGGGCGATTGAAACTCGTCCACCGCCACCTGTAGCGGGAATGTGCGGTCGACTCAAGGTCGGCTCATGTTTCACTTCTGGCGCTTCATCGTATGCATATGCTGTTGAATATTCAGGTATGGGTGCCGTTGATGCGCTAGGGGCAGCGCTATCTTGAAAGGCTTGCGATCGTTTCTTGGAAGGGCGTTCGTAGGAGCAAAGGTCTGCATGATCGCGCTTGACGCACCCGTCGCACGGCAGATTGCGATCGCATTTAACCTTGCGTGCATGGCATGGATAGCAGGCTTTGGGCTCGCGGGCCTTGCGCTTTGTGCGGATGATTGCGTCTACCTGGGCCTGGGGCAAATCGGAGACAGCTCTGTTGGGCGCAGAAGTCATGTCGGAGGCAACGGAGGGCGAGAATGAAGTTGATTTTGGGTAAGGCGACGTCATTCGGGCTCAAAAAAATTGTCGATACAATATATCCTTACTCGATCTCGAATTTATGGCCTATACAGCAGGTGTTTCATTCGGTCATTGGCATGGGAGTAGAGGGCCGCGATTTGGGAGTTGGATTGTGGTTTCAACACATTGGCGACAGGTATAGTTCCATAAATTCATTAATTAAAGAAGATCAGCATGCTAAGCAATGAAAGCTTGGATTTGAAATTGTACGCGATTTGTTCAAGGAAACTGGGATTAAGCGCCGGGACAATGCTACGGCACGTGACGTGGGGCATCCAAATGCGGAATTAAGCCCTACGTCAGCATTGTATACTCTTCAGGACTTGGAATAATTCAAGACCCATTATAATTTGTAAAAGGCGTGATATATATGACAATTGATGTACATTTGTTATGTATTGGTTGTAAAAATTTGTCCGGAAAAAAGATCGCTTTTAATGGATTGTAGTCTCTGTTTAAACCATGCCTGATGCATTAGGCCTACTTCCAAGTTATGACCACCTCAATATTCACCTGGGCAGGTATTGCTTGCTCCTTGAAAGTTATCTATAATCCTTTCCTTCCTCCTTCTCCCCACACAACTATATACATGGTGGTGGGTCTGGGAAAGCAAGGGTTAGCTAGAAATATATAACTCGGTAGTAGAGATAGTACCTCGGGTATGCGTACCCTCATTTTAAGCGTAGTTGTACATAGATGCCTATATAAAGAGTATTTGACCCCAAAGCAGTGAGAAATGAAGGAACATGAGGTTAAGCTTGGAGATAGAGAATTTGGCTTATAAAATTATCTTTTCTACTTGTGTTCACCTCACCACCTTCACCACTGTCACTTTTGTTGGGACGGTTCATGGCGCCAGGTTATTCTCTCGCTTCATAATGATTGCTGGTGTGGTCTACTACACCCCACCCCCACTATTGACAAAACATCAACCGTGTTTTTGTCCCTTGTGATTGGCCTTGATGGGCCAATTTTAATGGTAGAGTCCAGTGCCCACCATATATATATATATCATTGCCATACCCACTAATACTGTCCTGTTGTAGAATTCGTTTTACTGATTTAAAGCTATATATGTTTATATATATACTTTGAATTCACAGTCTTTGGATCAAACCTCTATTATTTTGCTATGGGAGATGAGGAAATTATATTGAATCCTTTGTGATCGGCAGACTATACCAAGGTAAGCGATTATTATGGGTCCCGGCTCCATGGGGTATAATATGATTGGTCTATTGTAAATAGTCTGGAATGATCTCGGGGTATCCTACCACATTTAGCTGAGAGCTAGCAAAATTTTCCAGATGTTGGGTGAATTTAGCGCTATACATCGATAAATTGTAGCCTCTTCAGGAAATTTCTACTCAATAAAAGTTACGTAACCTCATAGCATGACTGATTTCATTTCGACAATATACAGATCTTGCTTGTTCAGGTGTAAATCGTGCTGATGTTGAGAAAACCAAACCTCGTGAACTATATGAAGTTCAATTGGGAGTGCAATAGATGGTCATACAGCAAGCTTGAAATTTGAGAACAACACTCATTTTCTGATGCTTTTTTTTGGATGAGGTCTATGATTGATTTCTCACATTAGCTAGTGGAAAACGCATTAATCGAACTTAATGCGTGATGTGCTCGAAAAAAATCTCAAAATAGGTACAAGATCACCTTGTGGCCTAAGGTGTTAAAACTAACGGCCTGAGGCCTCTAGCGGGACGGAAGATCCCCAGCCCCGGCTGACCAATTGAGAGTGACGTACCGGGTAGCTGCCAATGTTTAGGCCTGTTAACCCAACTCAGCTCCGTTGACCCTCACATTGATTTACAACATACTTCCTTCCATCTTGGACAAACGGCTATTTTCACTATTAAACCTGGTCTTAATTCCTTTCCCCTCCTCTTTTCCCACCTTCGGTTCCCGAAACCTGCCAACTAAACAATGGAGGGTAACCCCGCGGAGCACGATGAGGCTGTGTCTCAATTCTGTGCTATGACTGGAACTCCGGCATCAGAGGTAAGCTTCTTCCTAGATCTATGCATCATATGGCTGCTGACTTTGAGTGCTTGATTGTCTAGGCCAAGGAATATCTTGCTGCCAATGGGTGGGACATCGAAGCTGCCGTCACAGAGTTCTTTACGGAGCAGGACGAAGTCTTGGAAGATATGGGCACTCGTGGCGAGCGACAAATAGGCACAGAAGGTAGTTCTGGAGCTCCTGCGGGGGGTAGAACTCTCGGGGGAGGTGCTGTACCAGCTTCATCGTCTGCCGCAGCTGGGTCTTCATCATCCACCCGGCGCACAGCACCCAAGAAGAAGTTTGCAACACTGGGAGATTTTGCGTCAGGAGGAGGCGGCGGTGGTGATTCGTCCGATGGAAACGAAAGCGACGACCATGACCATGACTTCTTCACAGGTGGTGAAAAGTCTGGACTAGCTGTGCAGAACCCGGATGACTTGAAAAGGAAGATCCTCGAAAAGGCCCGCAAGTATGTTCCCTAGAGATTGCTGGGAACATTGAACCTAAATAACACTCAAACTTCAACAGGGCGCAGCCTCCTCCTTCGGACGACGCCGTGCCAAGGGCATCACATTTCACCGGAACTGCCCGCACACTCGGTGGTGACGATACGCCAAGTCAAGTGATTGAAAGCCCATCAGCCCCTACTCAACAGCGTGCCCAGCGTGTTCAACGGACTCTTCATTTCTGGGCTGATGGATTTTCCGTTGATGACGGTGAACTGTTTCGATCGGACGACCCCCGCAATGCAGAGATCCTGGACGGCATTCGCCAGGGCCGCGCCCCTCTTTCCATCATGAATGTTCAACCTGGGCAGGAAGTCGATGTGGAACTCAAGCAGCATGAAGAGAAGTACACCAAGCCCAAGCCCAAGTGGAAGCCCTTCTCGGGTTCTGGACAGCGCCTCGGCAGCCCAACTCCTGGCGTAGTGAGCCAGGCCCCCACACCTTCATCTTCTACAGCTGCATCATCTGCTCAGGAGCCACCGAAGCCCACCGTGGACGAATCACAACCTACGGTTACCCTACAAATTCGCCTAGGAGATGGTACGCGGTTAACATCTCGGTTTAATACCACCGCCACCATTGGTGATGTCTATGCATTCGTTGCTGCTGCTACCCCAGATGGCGCAAACCGTGAGTGGGTCTTGATGACGACCTTCCCCAGCACAGAGCTCAGGGACTGGGACGCCGTTCTTGGCGATATGCCGGATTTCAAACGTGGAGGTGTCGTTGTCCAGAAGTGGAAGTAAGATATGCCACTGATACTCTCTTTCGTGAGGTTTTCCCTAAATAGTGGTTCAGTGGTTCGAAAAAGCGAACATTAGGGCAGTGGGCTTGTATGGGTGAACGTTACATGCCATATCTGATACCGAAGGAGGACCTTCATATTTGCTACGTAGAGCAATGGCAACTTGCCGAACAGGCTCTGAATTCAAAAATAAGTGACCAATCCACCCTTTCATATTCCCAGGTTCCAAGTCATACCAGCGCGTAGAAGGTTAGTCAGAATGCGATTGATAAGCGCCCGAATATCGGCATCCCCACTCTTGGAAATTCGTCATTGCGCTTTCACTTGCTACAACCTTTCTTTTCTCCAATTCAAGCATACACTACTGAAATATAAATATGCCTCTTACTGGAGTGAATAATGTTGTACTGGTACGTGCGCGTTCACCTCCTTGTAATCCCTCGGCGCAAAAAAAAGAAAGTTATGCTGCCCCTCATAGCTTATCGATAACGAGGGCACTGCTGGAAGCCATGAGCTAGAATATTAGGCACGATTTATTGGACATGACTGACAAGACATTCTTGAATTCTAGGTTCTTTCCGGCAAAGGAGGCGTGGGAAAATCCTCTGTCACACTCCAACTCGCCCTCGCACTCTCGCTTCAAGGCAAATCCGTCGGTATCCTCGACATCGATCTGACAGGACCCTCAATGCCACGCCTAGTCGGACTCGAAGATGCAAAAATCACACAAGCACCAGGCGGATGGATGCCAGTACCAGTTCACGGGGCGGAATCCGCAGCTGATGCCGACGCCTCAGCAACTTCAACACAACCCAAACGCGGCTCTCTCCGCTGTATGTCCCTGGGCTTCCTCCTACGGGATCGCGGCGACGCGGTCATCTGGCGTGGACCAAAGAAAACAGCTATGATCCGCCAATTCCTATCTGATGTCTTCTGGGGCCCGACTGATTACCTGCTCATCGATACGCCTCCTGGAACGAGTGACGAGCACATTGCGCTGGCTGAGCAGCTGCTCACACTATCCACCACAGATGCGGCGGCGGCTGCGCAAGGGGGTTTGCCTAGACTTGCTGGTGCAGTCCTTGTTACAACGCCGCAGGCTGTTGCCACATCGGACGTCCGCAAAGAGGCGAACTTCTGTGTTAAGACTAATATTCCTGTGCTTGGAGTTATCGAAAATATGTCCGGGTATTCTTGCCCTTGCTGTGGGGAGGTTAGCAATCTGTTCTCCAGTGGCGGAGGACAGGTAATGGCCCAGGAACTAAGTCTTCCATTTATGGGCAGTGTGCCTATTGATGTGAAATTTGGGGAATTGGTTGAAGGGAAGATGGAGGCTGGGGATAGTGACGAGGAAGATGATGAGATTTCAAACAGTCAACCACAAGATACAGTCGTTGAGCCTGATAATCGGCCGCTCGTTGAACGATATCGGGATACCTGGTCTTATCCTCGGTTTGAGGGATTCGCGAAAACTCTCATCAGCGCCATTGAGGGTCCGACCGCCGTGTAGTAGTGTTGCTCATGGCGAAAAAGTGTCTGTGATTGTTTTCTAGCGACATCTCTTTCCTGCTTTTATTTGCATTGCATCATATAGAAGGTGTTGGCAATTATTGAATGTCAAATCATTCAATTGATGAATCAGTCTACTTGGACCGGAGCATATCGTAGCTTTCTCCCTCGCGGATTAATCTTATAAAAGAGGCAATTCCTCTTGATCACCGAACCCCAAATCGCCAAGCTCGTTAAACATGGTCACTTCGTATCGAGAATCGAGACCGCTATACCACGGGTGCCTCTCTCCCCAAGGTATTGGGCCACAGCGCCAATGCAAAGCCCTGGAGGTTGCCTTTTTATTTAGCCAAGCATATAATGTAAAGAATCGCATGTTGTATGCGAGTATAAGTCTCCCACGTGGTATTCTAGCATAAGAGCACGTGGACTTTCCTGTTAGAAGAAACATCTTCAAATTTCCTTTGTGGACTGCTCGAGATGCCAATCTTCATTGCCAATGCTGGAAACGAAAAGTCTTCTGCGAAATCACACGACCGCACAGCTGCCCAGACATTTGAAACCAGCAGTTAACATGATGCCAAGGGTAGGCTGTGCATCTCCAGAGAAACCTAGACCCCCAAGACTCTGGGCGCCCATGCTGCACCCACGTCAAGCTCTCTCAAGCGTGCAATGGCAGCTCAGTATGCAATAACGTGCCAATATACCCGATATGATTGGTCTAGATGATCCATTAACCGTATATCGTCGCCGGAAAACGTACTTGGTCCGCTCTTGGCGTCCGCTACCAAGCCTTGGCGCCAACACCCGCCGTTCTCTGGTTATTGGAAAAGTCCGCCCCGCGATCAACCAATGACCGTAGTTAAAAGTGCACGCTGTCAATAATATCTGTATTATGGGCTAGAAATGGAATCACCATGGAGCTCCATATGGATTAAAGCCATATTCAGCAAAAGGTTCTATCACAAGCTGCACTTGGCAATAGCCATGCTGAGTTTGCAGATCGTATAAGGACACCATAAATCCTGGAAGTTTGTAGACAGCTAGAATCATACCATTATCTCTTCCTCCAGATTCCCCTTGTGTGGTCAAACACACACCACTTCGCCGCCATGATTCCTCTAGTCACCGCGAAGTATGACTGGATCCTAGCCATTACCACAATCGCTTTCATTTTCAGTGCCTTCGGTAACGGTGCTAACGATGTCGCCAACGCCTATGCCACATCTGTCGCCGCCCGGACACTCAACATGGCCACGGCCGGTGTCCTGGCTATCTTCACTGAGTTCATCGGCGCAGTAGCCATGGGCAAGCGAGTCACCGATACAATCAAGAACGGAATCATCGACATCGACCGCTTCGATGGCAAGCCTGGTGCGCTCATGCTGGCCATGGGCTGTGCCGAGATTGGCAGTGCTAGTTGGTTGATGTTCGCCACTGGAATGGGCTGGCCTGTCTCGACGACGCAGACTATCGTCGGCGCCCTCGTCGGTGTTGGTTTTGCTTCCCAGGCTGACATCAACTGGGCCTGGTCAAAGGGAAGTGTCTCCCAGGTTGCTGCATCTTGGGGTATTGCCCCTCTCGTTGCAGCTGGATTCTCGGCTATCATTTTCGGTACTCTCAAGTACTCTGTCCTTGAACGCAAGGATCCCTTCAAGTGCGGTATGCGTATGATTCCTTACTACCTTGCCACGACCGGAGCCATCCTCGCCCTCTTCATCGTCATCGAAGCCCCCACGGCACCATCTTTGGAGGAGTTTGGTGCTGGCAAGGCAGTTGGTATTATCCTGGGTGTGTTCGTTGGCTGTTTCGTCATTGCCCACGTCTTCTTCATGCCATACTTCAAGCGCCGTCTCGTTCAAAACGATGCCCGTGTCAAGTTTTACCACATCCCCCTCGGCCCCCTACTGCTGAAAGAGAACCCACCCCTATACTTCCCCGGAAAGGGCGACGAGGCCGTGATCAACTACTATGAAGATTCCTACGGCGAAGTCCGTGCCGGCCAACACGATGCAGCCAAGGAAAACTTTTCATCAAATGCAGACTCTGTCACCGCTACCCCGGAAATTACAGCAATGTCTAGCGCGGGCCACGTTGGAGATGACGAGGAGAAGATCAGACCGGCAACCGCCCCTCGCAAGAAGCATCTCGAACCAGCTGAACGTTTCCTCGACCCTGTCCGAGAACTGTCCTGGACCAATCCCAAGAAGGCCTTTGGTTACCTGAAATATGCTTTCCTTCAGGGTGTCACCCGTGATGTGGTCACACACGACTCGTCTGAGCTGCGTGCAATCCACGCACGTGCCCACCGGTATGACGACCGCGTCGAACATCTCTGGACATACTGCCAGGTTGTCTCAGCCATGATGATGTCCATTGCACACGGTTCCAATGACGTGGCCAACGCTGTTGGACCCTGGGCTGCTGTGTACAGTACATACCACGCTGGCGCTGTCGAGACCAAGGCACCTACCCCTACCTGGTTCTTGGTTGTTGCTGGTCTGCTGCTCGGTCTTGGATTCTGGTTCTTCGGATACCACATTGTTCGTGCTCTTGGAAACAAGATCACCCAGATGTCGCCCACCCGTGGCTTCAGTGTTGAACTTGGAGCTGCTGTCGCTGTGCTTTTGGCTTCAAGACTTGGCTTGCCTGTTTCCACTACTCAGTGCTTGACTGGTGCCTCTATGGGAGTTGCTCTCATGAACTATGATCTTGGCGCTGTCAACTGGAAGCAACTTGCCTTTATCTTTGGTGGTTGGGTCTTGACTTTGCCTTGTGCCGGATTGGTTTCTGGACTGCTTTGCGTGATGGCATTGAATGCCCCTCATCTGTAAAGGATACCCCTATCTTCGGATACAGCCTGGATGTTTCAGGTTGTTTCTTAGAATTCTGTCACATATTCTATTTTATTAATTCTAGTTCACATAAAACAATCACATATTTTGTATTCATTATGTTAAATCCTACGTTGAAATGCGATAGAAGTGTCTTGTACTCCGTGCTACAATCGATATTAGGGCTAATGCAGTTTGACACCCTTCTATGCCTTTTCTGCATACAAGCTGCATATTGTATCACTCTTGCAATTTCAAGTCACATTGCAGTGTCGAACACGAATCTGAGCCTGCCAATTCTTTCTGGTTCCATTATAAACGCATCAATTGAAGGATGTTCTACAAGGAAGACCAGACAGCTTCGCAATTTAGTCCTGGTTACTGCTTGATATCTTTGCGAGGAATATTTTATTTCCACCTGTAAATATATACATATTCATTTTCATTGAGATAGCATCGTTCCTGGAATTAGTTTTGTTGCTGAAAGAAATGTCCATCTCATTCTAAGGTATGTATGTAGTATTAAAGCCGAGAGACTGAATCCGAAGAAATAAATCCAAGAAGAAGAGATCATTTACCGCCGGACATGTTCAGCTTCGTGTGTAGGCGTTTTGAAATGTTACATCGTCACGATCCAGTCGAACGACGGGTATCCTTCTAAACACGACGAGGATAATCCTCTATTTGGTGCGCTTGTAAATTTTACCAAGGAAAGCCTCGAAGACTTCCTTCTTCAAACCCTTAGTCTCATCGACGGCGGCAATCTTGGCGCGCAGCTCGCCAACAGTCTTCTCCTCGTATTCCCTGTACACCTTCTCCAGCTGAAGCTCGTTGTAAAGGGCCTTGACCTTGGCCTCCTCAGCAGCATCCTTGCGGCCGTAAGAAGCATCCAGGAGTTCGCGCTGCTCGGGGGTGCAGCGCTGGATGGCCTGGTTAACGAGCCAAGAGCACTTGTTGTCCTGAATATCGGTACCGATCTTGCCAATGACGGATGGGTCACCGAAGTTGTCAAGGTAGTCGTCCTGGATCTGGAAGTATTGGCCCAGAGGAATGAGAATGTCGCGGGCCTGCTTGAGGTTTTCCTCGGTAGCCAGCTCTAGGTACATAAGGGCCAGAGCGACGGGGAGGTAAAAGCTGTAGTAAGCCGTCTTGTAGGTGACAATAAACATGTACTTTTCCAGAGAGAAGTTGTCAAGGTTGACATCGTCCTCGGGGGCGGTAATGAGGTCACAAAGCTGACCAAGCTCGGTCTGCCAGGTGGTCTCGTGGAAGAGCTCGACGATATCAATGTAGGCAGGGTGCGAGCGGAAGCGCTGCTTCAGGATGAGGTAGATACCCGCCTCTAGCATGAAGGAGTCGTTGATGGCGATCTGACCGACACCCTCGTGACGGTACCAGCAGGGCTGGCCACGACGGGTGATAGAGGAGTCCATCATGTCATCGCTGACCAGGAAGAAAGCCTGAAGCAACTCAGTCATCCAGCCCAGAATGCTGAGATGCTCGAATTGCTCCTTGGTCAGGGGCGTCTTCAGGAGAGCAAGGCCGGTATCAGGGACCGAGAGGCCACGGTTGAGCTTACCACCGGGAACATTGACATTGAGGGACTATAAAACACAATTACATTGTCAGTCATGATGTTGCATTGAGAATAGTCAATCAAGACGGTTTGCTTACCTTCTCGAACCACTGGAGCGCATTCTCGGGGAGATTGTAGCGCTTTGCGTGCGCAAGGAGATCCTCCCGCAATGCAGGGAAAATAGCCTCGAATTCGGCGCGCTTGGTAGTAGAAGCCATGATGAAAAAGTGTGAGGGAAAATTGGCAATGGTCTGACAAGGACGAAAACGTTCCCAACAATAAAAGGCCCCATTGACCATTTCCCCGCGGAGGGACCATTTGTCATGTTTGCAATGTTTGTCCTGTTTGTTCTCATGTTGCTGTTTCTCCAGGCGCAACCCGCGGACAAATGTGGATTCATCAAGGCCATTGAATGATCTTCAGCTTGTTTTAGACCCTGCTAGCATTAATAGCGTGCTCGGTATCTTTGCTACTCTTCTTGTCCTTTCTCAGGTTATGCGTGTTGCTTGTTCATCCGTATCAACAACGCGACGAGGGCCAATACCTTTTATTTACACCGGACCCGCTGTGGTGAGCTTTGTTTAACTAAAAGAAGCATGATATCGAATTGTCGCAAAATTGCTTGATACATTTAGAGCCACATCGGTGCCACAAAGCTACGTTTGAACGTCCTGCCTTACAGCACCTCTACACATTTGCGAGAAAGACGCCCGTCATGGAAGAGCCTACCGATGACGGAATCCGGGAGCTCATGTACCAGCTGGAAAATGCTGCTATCAAATGTTCTGAGCGATGCCTTTATCAATCATCAAAATGGTAAGATCAGCTGCCTTTCTTTATACAGGCCCGACGTACTAATGCTGTTGACCAATTCAGGGCCGCCGAAATGCTCGATTCCCTCCGACCTTTAGACCATGATGACACAGATCTTGAGTCTCCAATGGAGATTTCAGATCCTCCTTCGCCAGCAACAAATCCTTACCTCAAAGTGCGTGACCCAGTAGAAGCTGCCCTTGAAGCGCAAGAGTCCTACAAATACCTACTGGCCAAATCTTACTTCGATACCCGTGAATATGACCGATGCGCGGCCGTATTCCTTCCTCCGACAACACCGCCCGTTCCTTTGTCGGTTACCTCGCCTAACTCCAAGTCGAGGCCACCGCGGACTTCACACAAGGGCAAGGACAAAGCTTCGCCGTTTCAAAGCTCAAAGACTCAAAAGACCCAAATACAACAAAACCCATATCCGAAGCTCAGCCAGAAATCGTTATTCCTCGCCCTGTACGCCAAATATTTAGCCGGAGAGAAGCGCAAGGAAGAGGAAACGGAGATGGTGTTAGGTCCAGCAGATGGTGGGATGGCTGTCAATCGAGAGTTGTCGGGTCTCGCCAGAGGTTTAGACGGATACCTATCTGAAAGAACTGCGCTGGGGCTAGATGATCAGGGCCAGGGATGGCTGGAGTATCTCTACGCTGTCGTTTTGTTAAAAGGACGGAATGAAGAGCTAGCGAAGAAATGGCTCATCCGTTGTGTGCATCAAAACCCATACCATTGGGGTGCCTGGCAGGAACTGAATGACCTCCTGGGCAGTACAGAAGATGTAAGTTATTCCCATCAGGATTTCCTTCCGTCGATACTAAGATACTAATTCTACTAGTTGAAACAAATCCTCGAACTTCTGCCGCAAAACATCATGAGCTTAATATTTTACGTCTACTGCAGCCAGGAGCTGTACCAGGCCACAGAAGACACATACAGGTCACTCTCCGAGCTACAGTCAATGTTCCCAGAAAGCGCATTCCTCAAAACACAGCACGCATTGCTGTTATACCACTCGAAAGGTAAATACCCCAGCTCCGGCGAAACGCGCGATTGATCCGTGGTCTAATATTATGAAGACTTCGAAGAAGCATCCCATATTTTCGAAGGCATTCTGGCCACATCACCACACCGTTTAGACAGTCTAGATCACTACTCGAACATCCTTTACGTGATGGACCAGCGACCTCAACTTGCGTTCATCGCTCAGGTCGCAACCGCCACCGACAAATTCCGCCCAGAAACCTGCTGTGTCGTGGGTAACTACTACTCATTGAAATCCGAACATGAAAAGGCAGTAATGTACTTCCGACGTGCACTTACCCTCGACCGGAACTTCTTATCTGCGTGGACCCTCATGGGCCATGAATACATCGAAATGAAGAATACTCACACTGCCATTGAATCGTACCGTCGAGCTGTCGATGTCAACCGTAAGGATTACCGCGCCTGGTATGGTCTCGGACAGGCCTACGAAGTTTTAGATATGTCTTTCTACGCTCTGTTTTACTACCAGCGCGCCGCAGCACTACGTCCATACGACCCAAAGATGTGGCAGGCAGTCGGCTCATGCTACGCGAAGATGGGCCGAGTGGAACAGAGTATTCAAGCTCTAAAGCGTGCATTGGTGGCCGGGTCATTACAGCCAGATGATGGCGGACAAGCTGGCACCGGCGCAAACCCCGGCTCTGGGCGCAAGATCCTCGACCCTGAAACCCTGCACCAGATCGCGACACTGTACGAGCGTCTCGGCGACGAAGAGGAAGCTGCAGCATACATGGAACTCACGCTTCAACAAGAGTCTGGCGCTCCTGTCAATGAAACTGTCGATGACGATGACTCCTCTACCTCGGAGCATGGCTCTCAAAGCGATGCCGAGATCGAGCATTCAGGAGACGAAGACCCTGATCTATCGCAACGACATCGTCGTAATCGTAAACCTCGTGCAAAGGCTGAATCATTTGTTGTACAGAACGATGACTCCATTGTTAGTGAGACATGGAATGGCACTGGTGTTACAGCAACTACGTCCAAGGCACGCTTGTGGTTGGCACAATATGCGTCGCGGAACGGTGATCTTGATCGTGCGGATCAACTGGCCAGCGAGCTGTGCCAGGATGGGATTGAAGTGGAGGAAGCCAAGGCGTTGATGAGGGATGTACGGGCGAGAAGGGAGGATGCGACCTAACTGCATCGATTGATTGAGATATTTATGGATTATCATGACAGCGAAACGTTTTACTGGCCTTTATGAATAATAGCTACGATTGTAACGCTCATTTTCATCTTGCAAAAGCAAGGCCAGTATTAGTGGCTTTCTGTATTAAGAGTGCTTACGGCCAGTAGGACTGGCATTCGTGAAAAGAGGGGGTATCACTTATATAAAACATGAGCCAGGGGTTCCATCGAAGTATACTCACCCAACACAGCAATGGCTGTTTCGTCGAAGGTTATCTCAATCCACGGGGTGGTTGGTTGAGAGCAGTGCTTCTTTCTTGTGGTGGATGCACCATCAGATCGCTTGCTGAGATTCCATGAAAGGCAACCATAGAAATGATCTCGTCCAATATCTTTCCACGTATCACGCAGGCAGAAACGAAGGTCGCCGGGGCGTAGATCACGTTCCAACATGCTCGAGCCCAAAAAGAATATGCTTCCCATGGAGGGGATCGACCTTGTTGCAGTATGAACGAAACTGGAAAGAGTCGTGGCGAGACGGTGCATTTCTTTGCCTAGTCGAGTTGTTCTGGGATCGAACAGGATAATGCCAAACCGTGTCCCCTGTGATGCAGCATAGGGGTTTGATCTTTCGAGGGAGGAAGCAGATTCATTAGAGCAGAGACACCGAACAAATTCATCCAAATCACAGGATTGACGATCATTGCTGGGATGTTCATCAATTTGGGGAAGTGTAAAGCTGCCCAGCGAGGTTTCAGGCGCCCATATTGGAATGGTTGTTAAAGGAGATTGGGGTGAAATATTGCGTTTCTGTTTGGATGATGTAGGCATCGATATCTTCCCCGAGAGCCGTTCCTGCGCCTGGTGTGATTCTTGGGATTGCTCTTCATGCGCGGAGATGAAACTGGTTATTTGTAAAAAGCTCGAAGATTCTTGCGTTGTAACCTTTCCATCCTTCTGGCTGGTGTTTCCACGAGACGACAGGTTCTCGTTCACGATTACACTGGTCTCAAGAATAGTATTCCGATCTCCAGTGTGAAGTTTTGTCTCATCGATGTAGACTAGAGGGGACATTGGATGATCATTGGATGATCGATTGTGGCTGTTTTGCCTTGTTGAATAACCATGCGGGCCTTCCATCAATGGGCATACATCCGTAGAGCTTTCCCCGGAAGTAGTGGTAGCAGGTGGAACCTGGGATGACGAGGGATTCGTCTCGTCGTCGGTGTCTGAACAAGTAGCTTCTGGACTTCGAGATCGCACAATGTACTGATCGAGTCCACTTGCAATTTTGAGGCGTTTTGACCATTTCTCACGTTCTTCAAGTTCATCCGCAGGCACAGCCCGGGCATCTTCTGCCGAAAGCAGTAGTTCCTGGAACGATGTACATTCTTCTAGGGTTCGGTCTGAGTGGATCTTCAAAATCCGAGGAAATCGAAGCGTGAAGTATCTCGCGCCGGACGGCTTTTCAAATCCACTGCCCAGCATTTCGACGATGAAAGGCTGCTTGAAGAATGTGGTTGCAACGGGCAGGTTGCTGTGCCCGTACTCAACTTGGAAGCCTTCGAATGATTCAGGTTCACGTGCATAGAATTCGCCCATTTGATTGAGGGTTTGCATGATCTGAATGCTCATGCAGTGTCGGTTAATCACATCAACCACTCGGAAATGTGGCGAAGAATCGCCTTGCTTGACACGATCCTTGTTTAGAAGACAGCCAACGAAAAAGTGAGTCCATTTCAGCTTCTTTATTTGCTTTAGATCAGGAGCATCCCGGGCGTTGTAGCTACCTCCGATCAACGCCAGGTCTAATGTGTCTCCAAGACCGGGTATATAATCTTTCTTGAGTTTGATCCATCGCCCAAACATAGTATCGACACCAGTGGAGTATATCGGAAAATAAGGCTCGTCGGAAGCCTTCAACACACACCCTTCCCAATGTTGAGTAAACGCTTTCTCAAAGGTCTTTTCGAGCCGGTGATAGCTATCAACGCGGTTGAAGTCTAGAACTTCCTGATGGGCGAGATTCGCCCGGCCAGGGATGGTCTTCACCACTTTCTGTAAAAGCAATCGTCTTTCCCGGTGAGGCTTCGCAAGGCATACGTCGTTATCGAGGAGGAGAATGTCAAATAGCATGATCATCAAGTGCTCGTACGGTTGCGGCCTAGATCGATTAGCAAAGAGATCCATGATTTTAAAGGAATCGCCATTTACGGAGAATCATTATCAACACCAAGCATTGTGCCGGATCGTGGAATAAACCTCCGGATTTTGTTGAAATCCATCAATTCGCAAGTCTGATCATTCCATACAAGCATTTCTCCCTCCACGATACAGCGTTGCGTAAATTTGCAGTCAGGTAATCCAATGCCAAGTGATTCTTCTATCACAGGTATAATCTTATCTTTATCTGCGGTAGATTCCTTGCCACTTTTAGAGAAAATCTGAATGGGGGTATACTTGTTAGAGAGATCGACGTGGATCTGACAGTATTCACCATCGTATTTCCGTTCAATGCTCATTCGCCGACCGTTGGCCATTTGGTGGCAATGTTTGATACTCCGGGCTTTGTAATAATCAGGTCGTCCCACCTTGATGCCAGGACGAGGGCGCATATGTCGTAAAGCAATGATGCTAAGACTTCGGGCTGCTTGGGGATCCGGATTTGGAGGAAAGTTGCTTATTGGATCGGAAGCCAGAATCTCCAATGCCCCATCAAAGGAATTCTGAAGTTGGAGCAATTGTGGCAGAAGGAAGTGGAATTTCTTCAAGGTATAACTTTCTGGGAAAACAATGGGAGAGTAGCTTTTCAGAATCATGCGAGTGAGCCATTTGGCATCACGGCTACTTGATCGACGGTACAGTTTTGATAGAGTCTCATCGACATCTACAGCTGTACGATTCCGGCGGACATTAGGACCAGAGAACCGGCAACGTGATGCAATCATAGCCATGGCACGATCGATTTCTTCTACCGACAACTCCTGGCCGACCGGAATGTAATTCTCGGCTTGCCGCATGACAATTTCGACACAGCCTCCGAGATCAGAACCACCAGGGGTTTGCCATCGATTGAGTTCGGAAAGTCTCGACGATCCCAAACCTAAGCAGCGGCCGATAATTCTTGATAGCTGCATGGCTTGCAGCCAGTATACTCGGTCCGTTCGTTTTTCAGGGAACATGCACGAGAGCAACGCTGCACGGTCAGTTCCGGCATTATGGATGGTCCGTTCATGCCGAGAGAACCACTGGGCGACTGTTCTAATGTCCGGGTTCTCGTTCCTGGCGGCCGTGCATGCCTTGGCCGTTTTGTTGTCGTCTAGTTTGGATAGAAGATCACACAAGTGGGTGAATTTGAAGCTCATGGCCCATATTCAGGCGAGTCACCTAGTGACTCGACATGGATGAAGTGATCTGTCAAGTTAAAACTCGAGACTGTGGAGACTCGGAACGCGAAAAGAGAAAGAGCGATGACACGTGAGCACGTGACCACTTTAGTCCATTTATAGAACTATACGGAATTGGAGTGACAATAGACAGTTGAATTATTGTTATCTTGGGGCTTTTTAGACAAATTTAAGTGCACTGTCCTTTCAGTGGTCTGATATAGGTTTCAATATTATGACACTACCCTTTTAACATTCACCAGCTCCACCAAACCGGAATCTTGGCGAGATAGAGGCTCCTGACTGGAGGATGCCTTGATATTTCCCCCAATTGACAGATTTTTGGAGCGCGTCGGACGCTGCAGCCCCTGACTTCTACCATAGGTTTCTGATTTTACCTGATACGAGTTTTGAATGCCAAAACAGGTATAGAGAAGGCGATTAAACAACCGGCGAATTGCCGGCATACTGACACAGAACACTGCTGTGTAGCTTTCGATGAGTGACCAGTATGCAACCGGTACAAAATCATCTGTGGTCATACATCAGTAAGTTTGATTATCTTAATCTCCAGCCTTGAAGGACATACAGGTTGCATTGGTTGTATGGGCAAATGTCACCACTGACTTGAGGCGAATGATGCTTACAATGGTGATGCTGAAACCAAATTTTGTCAGTAGTCTATTCGCATAGCTAGTAAAGTTGACTCACAAAAATCCCGTGCAAAACATAAGCATGACCAAAACCTTCTTCATTGGTCTAAGGTTCAGCTTCATGATATCGTGGAGAGGCAAGGCCATGACAATCACATCGAGAACGATATTGATCACTGCGCACGCAATCCCAAAGGCATTGAAATTGAGACAACTACCCTTTGTTTCACCTGCCCAGGAGGTCCAGATGTAAGACACAGGTAAACAGTTGAAACAAACTCCGAAGAAAAAGGCGAAGAAATAAGCGACCACTATTCCCATCACGATGTATATCGCATTTCGAAGGCCGAAATTCGGGAAAATATGGAGATAGAGACTGAGGAAGGCCATCTTGATGGAGGTAATCGCGCCAACATAGAGCATCTCAACGATCCAATTATACTAGAGAAAATTGTGAGTTCTCGTAACAGGTGTTAGATGTTACGTAGACAGACCTTCAGGATAAGGGTGATATTTGAGAAAGATATTGTCCAGATATCTCGTCCGTAACCAGCATCAATCACTTTCAAAATTAGTACCAGGAAGTCAAGTACATCGACAACTGCGGAATACTCACTGAAAAATTCCAGTATACCCATCCCAACACTGAAAAGCTACGAGAGTCAACAGAAGCCATTATGATTGCGGGTAAGTTCTTACTAGTCCAAATATCACAAAAATGTCTTCTAGACCAAAATGCTTGTGGAACTCCAGACTTCGAATCAAGGTTGCAACAATTGCTAACCCCCCAAACACTGAATTTGTGATGGTGATGACATTGGCCTCGTTGCGGATTGGGCTATGGCACATGGTACTCGTGGCGTTTGCCGTACCTTAGTTGATAGATCAGCGAAGTTGATTATGTTTTCCCGGTCTTAAAATGAGCGATCTCCTACTTGGACTATCCTTGACGGTGCAGGTCATTTGCACACAAGCTGTCAAATTGGCTTGCAATGGGGTATCTGCGCAGATACAAGTGGTATTGGTCAAAGTGCAAGGCGAATCTTCGATTCCAATAGCCATGCAATCTTTCCAAAGTAGAATATTAGCACAATTCAAAGCCAGGAACCAGAATCAATCTCACTGCGCAGGATGGCATATCCGATGCATTAGCTATTGCTGCCAAAAGCAGCACGATGTGCATAATGGTCCCCTTTATGTAGCATCGCATGTTCATTGTCGCTAGATGGAAGTAGTCATCGCCATAAGGAAGAGAAGAAGGATCTGTCCACTATCCGTGCGGGCAACACCCCAAGGACCCTAGGGTGACCCCAGCTTCACGTACAACATAGTAATCAATCTAAACTGGCGAGGAGATCTTTTAGTTTGGCCCCATTTTAGCCTGACCGGGGGCCAACCTTCTAATACTACTCCGGAGTACACATTGTCCCAATCATTCTATGCGCCTTGGATAAACCTGAAAGCTATGTAGACCAAAACACTCATACATATCGATACAATTTGGAATTCACACTGTTCTTTGTCAAATTTCGGGCGTATGAAGCGTGCCATTTTTGCCGTTTATTCCATGAATTTTTGCAAGGCGCGCTACTCAAGACACTAGCCCCCTAAGTAAAAGCCGACTCAGCCTAGCGTCCCTAGCCTTTCAATAACAGCGAACCGGATAAATTAATGCAAAACAACCATGTAGCCATACCATAAAAGGTGTGTTTCAGGGGGCAGACTTAATCTTCCATTGTATTTTATAACGATATTCGGAGGGAATAGCCGAATCTATATGTGGCCCCCATCCTACTAAGGGGCATACCAGGAAGGCGCACACAGCCTCGTTTGTTCGCACTTCATTAGCCAAGTTTTCTTCCCAGAAACGTCAATAAAAGGCTATTTTTAAGTGGACATCGATGGCATTCGTCCAGAATAATCCAATATAATAGCTAATAGATTACTATGCGTATGTCTGCCTCACTTATAAAGGATACTGTCAAACTTGACATGGGTAACTCTCTCTCCTACAGGTTTTTACCATTCTGGATGCACAATGGGAAATTTTGAAACAATCGGGAAACTAACATTCTACAACTGGCTACATGCCCTCGGCCTTTTGCTTGCTACATATTGCGCTGGATGGATTGTTTACACGCGGGTGTTCCACCCACTCGCACGATTTCCAGGTCCATTCTGGGCCTCTGTGTCAAGAGCCTGGATTGTGCGCTCCGTTATTCGCGGCAATCCGCACGAAACTCAAAGGTTGCTGCATGCACGGTATGGTACGATATTCTCCCAGTTCAAGCTTGTGCTTTTTTGATTGTCGACCAGGCCATGTTGTGCGAATTGCCCCAAATGAGCTTTCGATAAGCGACCCCGAGGCCATAAAAATAATTTATGGAGTGAATTCAGGCTTTATAAAGGTTAGCGAATAAGAGAAAGAAGGGGAAAGAAATGCCGTTTTTAAGAAAGTAATCTGACTTTTCCGTAGAGTGATTTCTATTTGGCTTTTCGCGCACCATATAGTAAGATATTTCTTCAGGGGAGCATTATTGACCAGAACTAAAATGATTTGCTCAGCCCGATATCCAGATCATTTTACATCAACAGATGAAAAAGTCCATGCTCAGCGGCGCCGTATCGTGAACGGCGTGTATACTATGCAGAGCATTCTTCAGTCGGAGCCCTACGTCAATAAATGCACAGAAGTTTTACTACAGCAACTTGAAGATGTTGCAGACGCCAAAGCTTCCATTGACCTGCTCGAGTGGACACGAATGTGAGCAATACGATTTATTTCATTATTATTGATATCTAATAGAATAGGTACGCTTACGATGTTATTGGAGAGCTTTAATTCAGCAAAATGTTCGGTTTAATGAAAGCAAGAGGCGACCATCTTGGGATAATGAAGTCCACTGATACACTGATTCCGGCCATGGCCATTTCAGCTGTCATGCCATCTTACCTTCGATCTTTCTTCATGCTTGTTGGGGTGTTGTTTGCCGAGACCCGCAAGGCCCTGTCTGCCTTGAATGACCTAGCGACTGCAGCGGACTCTGCTGTTCAGAGTCATGTTCAAGCGTCAAATTCTGATGACAGTGTGATTCGACGTACTGATATCATATCTAAAGTATTTAACATTCATCGCGATCAAGGTGAGAAGCTTGATTTCCAGATCGATGATGTGAAGCTCGAGGCCTTCGGAGGATAGTAAGTTTAATTGATACCCGGAGCAAGAATCCAGAAAACTAAGAGCTTTTAAGTTTTGCTGGGAGTGATACAACAGCAATTCATCTGTCCACGGCTTTATACTATATCTTGAAGAACCCGGGAGTCTACGCAGCCCTCAACAACGAGATTGTTCAGGCCACACAGCGTGGCGAGTTGAGCTTTCCGATATCGTATCACGAAGCGAGCAAACTACCTTATTTGAGCGCGTGTGTTAAGGAGGGCGCTCGCTTGCATCCTAGCGTGGCACTTACAATGCCTCGAAAAGTACCATCAAATGGTTGCAGTATTTCAGGGCAGTGGATTCCCGGCGGAGTCCGTGTGGGAATTAACCCGACTGTCGTGCACCTCGACAAAACAGTCTTTGGAGATGATGCGGAGGAATACAACCCGGATCGATGGCTGAAGCCAGATGCCGATAAGATGAATAAATACATTCTTCAGGTAAGTTAATCCAACTAAAGCTTAGAGCGTGTGTTAACCGTCTTTACAGTTTGGAGCTGGGTCAAGGATGTGTATGGGAAAGAATGTAAGTGCAATCACTCTCCCATATGAAATCCAGGATCTAGGTTGACCGTTGATCAGATATCGCTGTGCGAACTTTATAAGGTCATTCCAGAGCTGCTTCGTTCATATCGCCTTGAACTATCAAGTCCAGAGAAGGATCTAGAGACCAGCGGGTTTTGGTTCTACAAGCCAGCGCCCATGCACATCCGCGTCTATCGAAAGTAGTGGACATGTTAAAACGTCTGGGAAAGCTAAATGACCACTTGAGGGGCATTTTTCTTACAGTCATCGGCCGATTCTCTGTTCATCCCAATTTATTCTTCATCCGGACCTAGGTCTACCTTTATATTTAAGATATCAGCTCAACACAAGATATGAAGACGAATCACCGTTTTTGAACGCACCATCCCGAAAGAGCTGTCTCAATTTTTGCTGTGGGCAGAAGTGACGCAGTCATTAGTTTAAAAGTTTAGCTTACAAGCATCAGCATGCTAGTTATCATAGAATAAATAGAGCTATACTTGGAAATACACGATTAGATGTAAAGCATCGTCGGGTAACTGATCATCACAGCGATTTCACTAACAGCACGCTAATTCTAAATTAGGCATAGTCATATTTGGCTTTTATTTTCCAATACGAGGCTGGAGTTGATTGGGGGGCTGTGTTTTTCGTTAGTGGGTATCCACGTCTCCTGCTTGCCAAATTGGGAACCTCATCTTATACAGTTACAGATGGATCCCGCGCACTCAATCGGACTCCAGCGCACTACCGCCATAGTCGTTAGCGACGATGAACCCTTGACATTTGACTACCCTACCCCGACATACACCTATACCGATCTAACTACTGCTGACTATTTCCGCCTACTGGAGCTCCTTCCTGGCAAGGGCTCGTCGGCCCTCCAATGCAATATTCAGTCTTATCGTCTCGATGCATTTACACTACCCCCATACAGGGCGCTCTCCTACTCTGGCATAGAGTCCCAGTACGAAAACTTGGTCGTGGCCGGCCAAAAAATACTGATTGATTCCTCACTGAGGAAGTCATACGAATTCCGGCATCCTCTCTTTTGCAATAATCAGACACTTCTGATCACAACCAGCCTCCGGGATGCCCTTCAGCGAATCCGCCACGCAAGACTGCCGGTAAAGCTTTGGGTCGATGCAATCTGTATCAACCAGGAAAATGTCATCGAGCGTTCGTCTCATGCCAGGATGATCCCCCGCATTTACCGGCGTGCTACAAACGTTATAGCTTGGCTTGGTGAGGCCGATGAAGATAGCGACAAAGCCATCACGACCGTTCAACGAATGGTAGAAGAAATTAAGCATGGCAGATCTTCGACTAACATACTATCGTCTGAGGACATCAAATCCTTTGTACGCTTTCTTAAGCGCCCGATTTTTCGTCGCCTCTGGTGCGTGGTGGAAACAGTTGTCGCCAAAGATGCAAGAATCCTGTGCGGATCGCTTCCATCTCCCAACATCTTAACCGGACCATCTATCTCCTATGAAAGGTTAGGCTGGGTGTGTCAAGTCATGAGAAGCCTTGTACCCCAGCACATTGATTCTCTCGATGAGGCGAAGCGGTTGCTATCATTCTGCGATCTCGCTATGCAGGCTCGCCTTGGACTCAGTATTAGGAAAGTGGATCCGTATCAACTAGCATATGATCTCCGCGAATATGAGTCTACCGATCCCTTGGATAAAGTATTCGCCTTCTATGCACTCCCCCGAATTGATTGTCCCGTATCGTTAGGGGAGGTCCCCGTCGCTGCTACTCAAGACGAGCTTGCGAGGTTGAGTACCTCGGACCCCCTACTTATACGTAAGTTGACCATCAACTGGGCTCAAACAAAATGGGAGCAACATGCAGGGTTTGGGCCCCTATCTTCCGCGAGCACACGAATAGATGCTTTGGTGGAACACGTCAGTCACTACTATAGGACTGCCATTCGCTTGTTAGAGTGTGTACTCGAGAGCTGCACTGGTGGCTCTCAGGAAGAGATATCGGTCGTGTTCTCCAAGTTGTGGGAAGCAGTCGATCGTCAACAAACATCGATTCGGCGCTTTTTGGACAAGGATACAGATGAGATCGCCTCTTCAGACGAATTGGTCATATTTCGTCGTATCTCGACAGATCTAGAAACTAGTCTATGGCTGTATGAAGACATTTGTACTTCGCACGTCGACAGCAAATATGGCCCAGAAGATGCGCCATACCTTAGAAACAGGATTGAAGCATTTGAAGAGATGCAAAATTGTTTGAGCACTGCAGGTGACTCGTCATCATCTTTCGGAAGTAACGACTCTGATGAGGATCTTGACCAGGCGCCACATAGCTTTGATCCATCTAGTGAAATTTTGTCTTCTGGTAAAGGAGAAGCCACACAAAACACCGAAGATGAAGCTCCTGCTAAAGATAGTATTTCCGAGACGGTTGGAGGGAATCGTGTGAGTAAAGCTTTATCGCAGTCAGTAGAGCTTTCAGGAGGCTGATTAGCGTCAACAGCAGGTTTCGACGAGCTCAGGAGAAGGTGCGGACGACAGAGGCGACAGCGGACCAAAAGATATCGAGAATGACTCACGTCTGCAGCGAGATGAAGGCCACGTGCCGGCCGAAATATTCCTTGCCGTCTCTATGATGGCCAATGGTGTGGAACCACGCCACGCCATCGGGCTGGAGTATATGGCCCCAAGGGTACGTGAATTTCCCTGTCTCATTAATCTGAGGAAACGGAGGCATAAAAATAATTCTTACAAGATATAGATTGACGGTTGTGACTCGACATGCGCACAAGAGGGTCACGATCACGCTGTCGCCGAAAGCAGATCACTAGCTAGCCCAGACTACAGCTTGTCCACAGCAGAAGCGTACCGCGCCTTTACAGTGCAATGTTTGCTCCACGATCAGAACCTTGACTTACTTTCTTCCGTCGACGCATTCTGCCAAGGCGGCAGGGTAACCGGTCTACCTTCCTGGGTCCCTGACTATTCAATTAAATTGGATAATCGTATTGTGCCTTTGGTTAGCCCAGAATACCATGGCCGAAATGTTTTTGGGGGTATAAGAAAGGTACAACCTGAGATATTTTGGGAGGAGAGTGACCCTAATACTTTGGAGCTGACTGGTCGCTTCTTCGACACCATCTCTGCCGTTTCTACTCTCCGATCAGAAATACGAGGATTCAAACAGCTCCACGAGGAGTGGATGCGCATGACGAGCCGGGAGATAGGCGTGGAGCCCGCACAGTATCTCCCACCGCATGCGAATGGAGATGATGAAGAGGCCTATGATAGGGTATGGAAAGGCACCATGGCCATGCCCGACAGTTTGCCTATTCCTCCGCCGGCACGCATCAAGTCGTGGCGGCACATGATCCGTGACTTCATGCAGTGGTTCCATCATTGGCACTCTCGACCAGATGGGCTGAGCAAAGCCACTTGGCAGTGCTACTTTGCCTTTCTAGCTCTCCTCGCCGCCCAGCAGAGCAGTGCCACGACTGAACCCGCATTGAAACGGGCCCTTGAAGAGGGAGGCATCGTTCCAGGAGTCACAATTATGGAGGACAATGAGGGCTTCTTCGAAGCAGTCCAGTCCCTCGCTGTGGGTCGAAGACTGGCTGTCACAAAAGCTGGAGGGGTAACCTGGGTCCCGGAGACAACTCAGGTTGGCGACATGATATGCGTGATGAAGGGGGCCAAGGTACCTTTTGTTATTCGCAAGGTCAGCGGCACGGAGAGCTCTTTTCAGTTTATTGGTGAATGCTTCTGCCACGAGTTGGCCTACCTAGGAATGGGCGATGACAGCACAGATTGGACAACCATTTGTCTAATTTGAAAGGTCAAAAATGTACAGCGACAACATATATCTCACAGTAAAACCTGGCCCCGGAGATTATTAATTTGATTCATAAACGAGTGTCCCATGCAAGCGAGAGGCCATCTCGAAATGCGCTACGAGTTCCACAATTTGATACAGTTGATCGTTCTTCTCTAGTAGAGCTTGAGATTGAAACCAAGGAGCTCTAGTACTAGACTATCACGTTAGAGGCTAATGGTGCTTCTGAACAGCCAAGGAGACAGGTCAAAGTCTTAGTCTGATTTCCCTATCCCAAAGCAAATACTCCGTACGTTGTGTTTATTTCTTTTTCTATACAAAATAAGGTTGCTCCAAGTGGGTCCGGATGCCATTAAGTGGGTCCTAAGGCATCATAAGACACCTTAAGGCATCGATCTCTCGGCCTAACTAGTTAACTAGTCCTGCGACATCCTCTCACGACACAGCACCTTCCTCCTTCTACTCAGCCCATTCTAATATCGACTGCCTATGAGCTTACTGAAGAAATACTCTTTCTAACTCATGTGAGAAACTGTCCTTCCTCTCGTTATGATACTCATGCTAATTAGATATAATTCCGTAGCGGACCCCCAGTCTAGACAATGAATTTCCAGGCGCCCACTTTCCCAGCTGTGAAGTTTATCCCTTCAACTGAAAAAGAGACCATATTAAACAGCAATGCATTAATTCTGTACGCCGTTGGCGGCGAGACTCTCTCCGAGGGAGGCAATCACTGGTGCCTCTACCTAAATATTAGCCGAGGCCAGTCAGTGTGTATTGATATTACGCCATCCTATAACGTTCCTGGTGTTGAAGTCCCAGGTGGGTCAAAAGCCTTTATGCTTATCAGCGTTTTGCCATCCACCTCCTTCGCTGCGAAGAAGTCTGTGGCAATGCAAGTTAGGGCTGGTGCCAAATTGAAAGATTTTGTCGACTTGCTCATACAGCAAAATCGCGACCAGTATGAGTTCAACGCCCAGGGTCAGGGCTGCAGATATTGGACGGACGATCAAATTACGCTCTTTCAGAAATCGGGTCTTATCGTGAACTCCTCTCAAATACTCGAGGCTAGAGAAGCAATTCTCACGAAATATCCCAGTTTAGTCCGGTATCCTCTCGTGATTGGAAGTTACTATTAGCCAGGCCCCCTTTAAATGGTCAAGGATCCTCCAACTTACCATTGTATTTTATCTTTGCAAATTGTGATCTATTAGTCCCTCGTATAACTTGTATAGTCCTCATTTCACCACTCTCTTAATTACTCGTCTGTCATCCGACCACAGTTGCGGTTTCTTTGTTCACCCGGTAGTTGGATCCATAGTTGTCTTTTATCGATTGATCAGCCACGCGTATACTTGCCATGAAGGAACTGAATGTTCAAGTTTCTGCCCAGACTCGCACGGCATTAGAGACAGACTCCACCTTGCGGTGTGTGCTGGTAACTAAATACCGTCATGAGTCCCGACGATCTGCCGATGTCATACCCTGGGCAGAATCGCGTGTTGAGAAAATAAGCAGCGCCATACTCCGAGAGATTGGACAAAAACGGCCGGCTTTAGTGCACAAATGAACATGGTTTGAATGCTCTCTCTTACAAGAAATGATGTCTACATTTGTTATGATCTCTTTCTTGACGAGTGCGATAAACAACTTCGGGCTGAAATTTCAGATACCATTCCCTCGCAGCGACCAATCCACATCATTACACGGAGGGCAAAGGTCTTTATCGTGCGGAGGGATGAGCGGATGGACGTAAAGGTGGCTGGACGATATATGGACATGAGCAACCTTGATAAAGGACCACGAACCTTCTTCTCAGATTTGAGCGATCCGCCTGTCTATGCTGAAGATGGGCGGCGTATCGAGAGCTGGGAGGAGGACTATCCGAGGCCGTACTTGATGACTCGAGACGGGAAGAAAGGCGAGGAAGGACCAGATGATAACACGGGGCCAGACCAACAATTTGACGACACGCCTAGGATTCAGATGACGAGCCAAAGCGATTCTACCGGAACTGATTTTAAGCCTACATGATCTTCTGTATATTGCTTCTCAACATGATTTGACATGGTCTAGTATATACGACCATGTCTTCTGTCCATTTTACTAAGCCGAAGAAGAAACTATGAGAATTACATGTCTACAGAGATAAGTTAGTGAATATGTATATTTGGAGAACAGTTGTTAGAATTGAAAATTGCCAGTACGGGCCATATAACTAACGTGTCTTCGGATATCTAATGTGAACTTTCAACATTTCCCATAGTTTAGGGCTTGCTTCCCAGATAACGTGGCTCTACATCACGCCCTAGAGAGCTCTGTGCTGTGCCCTTTTCCACCCATGGTGAGATTTTTCTTTGTCTCCGGGTACAACATCGAATCGGTTCTCGCTTACCTTTCAAGGCTTACCTTTCCTTAAACGCGAAAGGAGATCCACCTTACAGTCATCTCATAAACCCAGCTACCCAGGAAACAAGTACAATGGCGACTTCCATTACTTTTGATTTCCTCGAGGATACTGGGGCTTCAACAATGCGGGTGTTCGAAGACGATATAGCCCAGATTGAAAGACTATCTGGGAAACCCGTGCCCGTCCTTGGTCAAGCACTCAAACAGACTGCCGGTGGGCAGGTGATGGTTCGGAATGTGATACTACAAGCAAACATGCTACATGAAGACACATGTGTAATTCCCTACTGGGTTGATATCCAAACCTCTGTATCGCCCGGAAGGAGAGGAACTCAAGGAGATCGGCTGTCTGGTGTATGGATCTATCATTTGCTGTTTGTTCTTTCAATGCCAGATGGCACCCATAATAAGCATTTCGGCACTGATATCAAGGAGATGGTAAAGAGCCTGCCCATTCCAAACTACAAAGAGGCTGTTCCACCTCCTTGGGTCTAACGAAGGAGTCCACAGTTGGCCATGGCAGCTGTAGCCCTGCTTTGAAGAGATCATGTTTGGCAGTTTTTTGGGATTTTCCGTCTTGGTTTTGTTTTTAAACTGGTTATGCTTGTGTCATTGACTTCTGTTGATAGTATAGATAGAGAGATGAAGAAGAGGGACAGTTCTTGGTTGTAAATCTTTGGAATCACAGGATATTTATACCCTGTAGATCTACCAAACGCCCGGGATGGAACCGTCTATCGTTTCTTTATTGTTGATTTATATTGATGTGTAGTTGAGCTATATATGATATTACAATCTTGGAAGTGACAATGCACATAGTTTGTAAGGCACAATTCTCGGCGACCTATAGAATTATGACCCACGTAGGTTATGCTGATATAGAAGTATACGAAACCAGCTAGAGGCTAACTCAACTATGCTAATTAATTGACGCTTGATTGGCTTATAAATTCCCCTCCATCTTCCATTGAACTCATCACACGTCTTCCTTGTCAGCCTTGTGAACGAGAACAGATTCAAGATCTTGGGCACTGGGATCCGAGACTGGTTGTTTATTCAGCGGATCAGTACGGGCCAAGTCATCCAGGGGAGCATCATCGGTAGAGCTTCCTGCAGCTGTCTCTGACCTCTGTGGCAAGGAAGATGATGGACGTGGTCGGTTCTTTTTTCTGTAATGACGTCTGAAATATAGGAACGCGCAAGCGAAAAGCAATAACATGCCAAACGTAGCACCAACACTGATTCCAGCCATCGTAGCTCTTGACTGCTTTGGTCGCGTGCTATTGGTGCTTCTGGGGCGTATGCTGGTACTCGTATGTGTTCCATCCGGGGTACTGGTAGCATGCGCTGGTTTGATGGTCGCAAAGTCGATGGCAGTCGAACTGAAGTCGTTTCCGATGTATGCCACATCTGTTTCGGCCATGTTGGCTTGGCTTCAATGACAAAGTGTAGATGATCTTACCTTTGACCTGAAGTTGTTGGCTACCACCTGACAATCCATTTCCTGCGACGGATATAATAGGTAGTAACATCTCAAGATGCGAACTCGCAAAGTGATAATTAGAGATGATGAAAATAGGTGAACCTAGAAAAGTGAAAAGCAGGGTCAGGCGCAATAGCTATACATTTGTAGCTCTTACATATTAGCCCAAATCCAGCATAGCGCTTACATGTGTAGCGATGAAGAATCCCGATAAACGAGCCCCTTTTCTTTTTAAACCAGTGAGAATTCGCCATTTTGAACGATAAGACGTTGAATCCCGAGAGCACCAATGACCGTCCAAGCTAAACAGATCCTGTGCCTCCACCTCAGCCGTAATTTTCTTTGGTACTTTGATCTAACCCTAGTTGGTAATAGATTGTTGGTTTGGTAGCATCGTCAGTTTGTGGCGTTAACCTTGAAGGAGTTTTGAGGAGACGTATGTAGCAAGGTTACTGTCAACGGCTATATAAGGAAGAGAAAAGAGGCGTAACTAGATATGCGCAACTAACCGCCTTGGCAGACGATAACGAATCGTTCCGGAGTATATATTCTCAGGAACTGGCTTATCTACATTTTCTGAAGTTTAGTTAGGGGAGATACTAGCCCTGTGGGTAGCGGATGAGGCGAAGTGCGAAGGAGAGGGACTTGGTTGAGGTATAGCGCATGACTGTCAAGAGAAAGGGCACTGACGAGGACTACCGTACTACGAGATCTACTAACATAGTTATAATCAGATAATGTGGGTTTCATTGTGAATTTGTAGAAGTTAAAGAACATATTCTGGCCCAAGACCGAGCCAGTTCAAACCTCAAATGGCCTTCAAAGAGTATGTATTCGCCGAACACCGAGCCATTTGTATGAAATCAGGACGCCAGATGGTGAAAAAAAAAGAGAATGATGAGCCCGTTCCCTTCAGAGAATGCCCTGCTTTTGCAAATCCAGGTAGATCCTTTCGGGCATGACATTACCCTCTGCATCCTCCATCTGAACGACATTCTCGCGTGAATCTCGCTCCTTCTTGCGATCCTTCTCAAGCTGTTCCCAAAGGGCAATAGCCTCATTGATACTAGTAATTTCACGGAAGAGATTGGTGTTGGATGTAATACCGAGGCACTTCAATCCGTGGATATGGAGGTTTTCAGAGAAATGTTTGTCGAATGCTCGTCGACCCATGTATGTGTAGTTTCCGCAGATCTCGCACTGGTACTCGACACCGAGTCCGTGGAGCTTGTAGAGCCAGAACGGAATAGGCTTTCCGTCCCATGCCAGTGGCAATTTCAACGGGTTGTAAACAATCTCCTCGTCCTCTTCCCCGGATTCTTCGCCAGCACGAGGCTCGGGACCCGTGTGATCCAGGCCGGCCTGCACAGATTCCCATTCCATTTGACGTTCACGTTCAGTCATACCCTGTCGGCGCTCAACATTGATTCTGGTGGCCTGTCGCTCTTCATGCAGGACGTTCGTCAAGGATCGAATTTGGTGTTCACGTCGTGCAACCTCGCGCTCCTTTAGACTGTGCGCCAAAGATGCGGTTTGAGATGAAGATGGCTTCACATCAGATGTGCCTGCTGCTTTACGGGCCTCTGCCGCTCGGATGTGTTTCTTGCCGGTCAAGTGGCTCTTGTACACGTTCTCGTTCTTGAACTCCTTCTCGCAATCTGCGCACCAAATGCCCTCACCAGTACCTTGAGTTGCTGGGGCAGATGTACCATTCTCGGGCTTTTCTTCTGTCCAACCCGGAACCTCCTTCGCAGCCCATTGCTTCTCGAATTCTTCGTCAAAGCTGGCAAAAAGTTCGTCCAAGGGTTGCAGTGGCTGGACTTTCTTGATGAAGCTTTCCAGATAGCTAGCAAGCTCGCCAACATAGCTGAAGTAACGATCGGAGATCTTGTCTTTCCGCTTGATCGGCATGGTTGGCGATGTGAAGATGTCAAAGATTTCGAGATATTGGACGTATGACAAGCGCTTAACTCCAGGGAGATTCAGATAATTCTCATGAATAGTTATGAGATCCAGGTACTGTCCAAACCCTTCTTCACCAGTGAACATATTATCGATTGCGGTGCGGGGAGCCTCTCCTTCGGCGACCTGAGGGCGGTTGTAGGCTTGTTCGAGGTTCTCGATCGGTTCGTTCGGGTAGCGCTTGTGATGCTCTTTGATCTCGCCTAGCTGCTTGTAGAACTCATCAAATTGATCGCCGGTTGAGATAGACTGCACTTCCTTCTCCCGTAGTCCATCGGCATCCTGGTAGATCTCCAGTAGTCGCTCGGACTGGTTCTTGAATCTATCTAGGAACTGGGCGACTTCATGGTCGCGAGCTAAACGAGCGCGGGCCTAAAGAATTGGTAGGTTAAAAAATGTGACTGACATTGGTCGGCGGTATATTCACATTTCGGGGCTCCTCCGCCACGCGATCAGCGATAGCCTGTTCGAGGCGCTCTAGATCCTCATGGATGAACCGTTGATCTTCGAGCAACATAATTTCAATATGACTGCTGCGTAAGAACTTTTTTAAAATTGGCGCGCAAGCAGTGGTGACAAAGTCTTGTGGCGATCGCGAAAAAGCGTTGGCAATTGGCAGCTCCAACTTGCGGGAAGGTCATGTGATCTGAACCTTTCCACCGCGAAAAGTTGAGCCGGTTAACCTCACTTACTTCTTAAGGCTTCACTCTTCGTGAATCGCAATATCTTTTATTATCTGCCGTTGCAATAATCACATTTACATCATGGCGGACGGAATCGACAGACGCGCCGAGGGTATGTGGTTCCAACCTTGGGCAACATGAATCTTGCTAACAGTAACTAGAGCGCATGGAATTCAACACCTCCAAGGAGGTGACGGTCGCCCCGACCTTCGAGGACATGCACTTGAAGGAAAGCCTGCTTCGCGGAGTCTACGCTTACGGATACGAATCGCCTTCGGCTGTGCAATCCCGTGCGATTGTTCAAATTTGCAAAGGTCGCGACACTATCGCCCAGGCCCAGTCCGGTACTGGTAAAACTGCCACATTCGCTATCAGTACTTTGCAGATCATTGATACTGTCGTGCGCGAGACCCAAGGTACGCACTTCTCCTGTTCAGTCTGATCTGATCCAACTCTAACCACAATCTGGTTTGTAACAGCTTTGGTCCTGTCCCCGACCCGCGAACTCGCAACCCAAATTCAGTCCGTCGTTATGGCCCTTGGTGATTACATGAACGTTCAGTGCCACGCTTGCATTGGAGGAACCAACGTTGGTGAAGATATCCGCAAACTCGACTACGGCCAGCATGTTGTCTCGGGCACTCCTGGTCGTGTGGCTGATATGATCCGTCGCCGAAACTTGCGCACACGTCATATTAAGCTGCTCGTTCTCGATGAAGCAGATGAGCTCCTCAACCGCGGTTTCCGTGAGCAGATTTACGATGTCTACCGCTACCTGCCCCCCGCGACACAGGTCGTCGTGGTCTCTGCCACCCTCCCATACGATGTCCTGGACATGACCACAAAGTTCATGACTGACCCTGTCCGTGTCTTGGTCAAGCGTGACGAGTTGACACTGGAGGGTATCAAGCAATACTTTATTGCTGTTGAGAAGGAGGAATGGAAGTTCGACACACTTTGCGATTTGTACGATACCTTGACAATCACCCAGGCCGTTATCTTCTGCAACACCCGCCGAAAGGTCGACTGGCTTGCCGACAAGATGCGTGAGGCCAACTTCACTGTTTCCAGTATGCACGGAGAGATGCCTCAGAAGGAGCGTGATAGTATTATGCAAGACTTCCGTCAGGGCAATTCTCGTGTCCTCATTTCTACTGATGTCTGGGCTCGTGGTATCGATGTCCAGCAAGTCTCTCTTGTTATCAATTACGACTTGCCTACCAACCGTGAGAACTACATTCACCGTATTGGTCGATCTGGACGATTCGGCCGCAAGGGTGTGGCCATCAACTTTGTCACCAGCGATGATGTCCGCATCCTTCGCGACATCGAGTTGTACTACTCAACCCAAATTGATGAGATGCCAATGAACGGTAAGCAAATCACACACAGTTTTTCTATTGCTCTGCTAATGATGTTATTCCAGTTGCGGATTTGCTCTCATAATCTCCACCCTCTGGTATTGTGATTGTAACATCTTTTCCTACGCCAAAAGCGATTTGGCTTCATCCCTTCTGAGGTCTTCTGCAAGTGGAGTGCGCTTGCATTGTTGATTGAATATACCTGAAAACCCGGCATGATGGGTTTCAGAGGAATGCAAGGCCAGCTCTAGCGTGGAGGAAAGGGATAATAACATATTTCAGTAAGTTCAACTTGCTGCCAGCTCATCTGATGTCCAACTAACAATCCGAGATAGTTTTCAAGAATGCCAACCGATTTACGCACCCCAGAAGGTGTTTACGATTTTGCTTATTTCCAAAATTTCGGGCCTTTGGCCTAAGTAGCAGGGTCGTTTCTTTATGTTTGGAGTTTCTTTACTTTACTTTTTGACACTTGGGATCATGAATGATGGAATCAGTTTTACATACTTGCATACGTAGCTTTTCCTTGGCCCCAAGTATTCTAGTCTGGCGACTTAATTCTAAAATAGTAGTGAGAGATGATAGTGAGATGGATGCAATATTTCCCAGTCTATTGCTCTATAGCAGCGCTAGCTAGTTCCTACCAGACTGAAGACCTACAAACAAGGAATATGAATAGTAGATTTGATTCAATCAAAGAGACTGATAACAAAAAGGCCGTTCAATCCGAGGCCAAGAAAGCCCCCCAAAACCAAAACTCAGAACTGGGCCAACAAAAGACGGACAGAACGTATATACTCCTCAGTACCAAGAAAGAAAATACGGACCAACGCCAGGTTCCTGTATTGAAAGAAATAGATGCTAACTGCAAAGTAAACAGCATAAGGAGTGAAAGGGGGACTCGGATGCATATGCGCAAGGCATCATGATGAAGATATGTCGGTCAACTGAGGGGAGAGGAGAACATTGAAGAGAATTCAAGAACAAGAAAACATTGCAAGGCAAGTTTATCGTCTTTCAATTCAAAGGTCCGAGTATGTTCCCTCAATGAGATACGCTGTCGTGGGGAACTTGAATAAAGACAGACAAGCATGAAAAATGATGGTGTTGGAGCAGGTTGTCGCTGAGATACAGGACATGCATATCAGAAAGTGGTTGTTCTCAATGCGCTAGTCCGCGTAAACCCATTTGAGGGTATACCGCTGCGTTGAACTGGTCCTACTGGACGGGATCGATTACTCTCTCGAGACCAGCTAGAAATCTAAGTTAGCGGTGGCGTCCAATGTGGGATGAAGATAAGAGCAATTCTTACATTCTTACTGCGCTGTCGTCGCCTGCTGATGCGAACATTCCCGGGTCTGCTGGGTTCCATGATATTGAGTTCACGCATCCGGATATATGCCCTTCGAGGGTCTCCACTATGTTGCCGTTCTCTTTGTGCCAGATGTAGACTTTCGAGTCTGGAAAGAGTTAGTAACGATACCAGCAGAGAAATATTGAGATATTCACCTTCACTTCCGCTGACGACAAAGTTCTCAGCTGCTCCTCCGAATGTGCTGCGAATCACGAACTCGCCTTGCTTCTGTCCCTTGAACTGACGGATAACAGCAGTGGTTTCCATGTCAACTAGTTGAATCTCGCCCTCAGCAAGGTTTATTAGCACATGTCGCGAATCTCTGCTGATAGCAACCGAAGTTGGTTTACTGGGCAGTGGAAGACAGTAGTCTTCCTCGTACGTAAGCATGTTGTAGACATGAACCTTCGCTTCTGTGTCGGCAGCAACAAGCCGTCGTCCGTCGGCGCTAATGGCACAATCCTGTACACGGAATCCGCCCTTCCACGTGTATAGAGATTGACCACGCATGCTCCAGTGACGTAGCTGTGCTTCCGAATCAAGAGAGGCTGTCACAAAGGATTCACCATCTGCTGCCCAGGCAGCCGCAGTCACCGGTTGACGGTGATGGTTGATGGTGAGCAGACATCGACCGCTCTAAACCATGCACAGCCTGAGTTAGCATATAATCATATATTTATATCAGAAGGAAGTATCATTACCTCAACACTCCATACTCGTGCCTTCTTATCTTGCGAGCAAGTAATAAGTTTGGAGTCATCTGGACTCCAACTGGCGAACGCAACTCCGTCCTCGTGTTCTGTAAGTCTGTGAATAACGCTGAAATCGGTTGTGTTGTAGATGAGCACATTATGGTCCTTGCCTGCAGTGACCAGCTTGGAGCCATCATGTGAAAATTCGCAATACCATACTTCATCTGAATGCTGAGTTAAGTCCACACTAACGTCCAGCGGAAACTCGTTTCGGTCGCACATGTGGTCGGAATAGAGCGAAGGAGGCTCCGCGGTGTTATGATACAAGCAGTTGTTGATTTGGGTCTGCTTGACTTGATCTAGTAAGACGGCTAGGCGATGTTGCGGGATCATCACGGAAGGAGATATCGATTCTGCGGCTGAATTAGCAACCCGGTTACACCACAGACATTAAGCATTAGATTAGACTCACTTGACAGATCGCCAAGCAGTCGTTCACGAGAGGAGCTAACGGAGCCATCCCATCCCGTTTGAGCATGTAAGGCTTCGGTTGAGCACATAAGAAGACTAGCCAAGAAAAAAAAAACTGGTAAGCGAAACCTGTTCTAGAAATGTCTTTAGGGCAGAAATACCTTGATAGGGCGTGAAGACGCTCGACGTCAAAATTCAAGGGTGTCAGTTCTTGCCGCAGGACGCTGAGAGCTGAAGCGAGATCGCGGGCTTCTAGCAACTCGAGGAATTTCTGTTGCCGGAGATAGAATAGCATCTCGTTCCTATCGGCTTCCTCCGCTAATATGAGGGTTTCCTCTTGTGGAGGTTTGTCAACCTGCTGCGACCCGGCATTTCGAAACGATTGAATCAAGATCCTCTCAGCCTCTGACCATCTTCCGCCTAACACCGCACTCCGGAACGTCGCAACCCCTGACGTTTCCAGTTCATATCCGCTCTCCGAGCTTAAGAGTGATGCTGAACCATTATAGCCCAGCTCATACAGGCTCTGTATCAGAATCCGAGTCACTTCCTCCCGGTTATGACCATAGTAGCTAGAAGCTTGAGATGGTCTTTTAGAGCCATTTGTATGAGAGCTCCCGTTGGTTGCCGCTTGCCCGTTTAGACCCGTTTTCCTCGACGCCGATGGAAGTAAGTCATTCGAGGCGTCTGAGGTGCCATTTTCTGTTGATATTCCATCGGGACGCATGATTACCAGGCGCCTGCGCTTGGGGGAAGGAGGTCGGCCGTCCGGTCGGCCAAGAAAATGGCTGGGGTAACTCTGTGCAGTTTCACGTGCTATTCGTGAAAGGTATCCAGTCCCCGATGAGGGACCAAGGTTATCCGGGCTCGAAAGGCGACGGCGACGGCTGGGTCGAGGGGTAGATGAACTGGGTCGAGGTGCGGACAGGAACTCTGACGTTTGGAAGCCGGGATTGCCTACCGAGGCGGGAGCTGTGGTGGGTAAAGGAGGATCAGGGTGGTCGGAGGTGATAAAGGGATTATGTGATGAGTTTTGAGCCAGTTCGACAATATCTCTAGATCTGCCCAATCCCCTGGCTCTTTGGAAGAACCAGGTGAGCAGACCTCAAGCGGTGGCGGGTGTCCGATAAGTAATCGCCGGAAGCTCCGTTAAGAGAGGGGCGATGCAGTTGTCACAAGGTCAAATGGATGATCACTAGCTTAAGCTAATAGTCACAGACGTAGAAAAATGATCAAAGAGCTGTAAATCACGTTGTCTCCGTAATGTTCTTGGGAACTGATGTTGCTTATCGGAGAAGAGAGGAGAGAGAGAGAGAGAGAGAGAGAGAGAGAGAGAGAGAGAGAGATAAAGAGAGAAACCAACCAACCTCCGGATGGCAATGAAAGTCCGAATATTATTGAATGTCAGATATTAAGTCAAATGTATGTGAAATTTAAAGTGTGAAATGAATAGAAAAGGAAAAGAAAACAGGATTGGGTCGTTGGGTGGAAAAGGCAAGACCCCCACGATCTACAACGTAACACCTCGACTTTAATTACTACTGACTTATGTATATAGAAGGACTTCTTTTATGATGTCGCCTTATGGAATCGGTGAAAATGACGTTTTAGCATTCCCTGTATAGGGTATATGGAGAGCGTCTGTACAACTATATCTGTTAGTCCAAGCTGTGTAGAGGTTTATATTCTTTAGAATAATACCGAGGTAGAACCTTGGAATAATGTTCATTAAAATGGTCAATAGTATGATATTCATTATTGGAGAATTATATCCTTTACACTGCCTATGGAATATATAGTGTGGGAATGTAGAGTATCAGAGTAAAAAAAAAAGCAGGTTAGCCTCGAGAGAATAATAGTAACTCGGTGTGCCAATGTCACCGTTAACTCCATACATACAACATATGCTTTTATATGTAGTCTATCGCCTAATAGTTATTGCAGTAGGAACTTGCAAGTATATTTCATTTCTCGGTAAAGAATTATCCCTACACAAGTCTGGATAAGGTACTCTCACTCCGCAACCTCAACGACCAACTTCGTACAACTCACCCCCTGGGATAACACATTCAACCCAGCATTAATGGCCCCCAGCCCCTTTCCCACGACCCTTGGCTCTGGACTCGGCCTGATGGCCCCGTTGGTCAGATTCACTCTCAGCCATGTCCCCATCCAATATTGGAACTGAGCCAACCTCTCGCCTTCGTCCATTGACGGCAGCACAAAGATGGTTTCCACCCCAGTCACCTCCTCCGCATCTGGAGGAATAATTGGTGCCGACCCGATCTTTGCCTTCTGCTTTTCTCCTTGATTATCCCCAATGAAAGCCTTAAGTACGGCCTGGCATGGCGCCAGATTCCCAGTGGCAAGAAAGCAGTGCCGAATAACTAGGCCGTCTTGTCTAGCTGCAGAAACAATCGCGTCGACAACATGCGGATCTTTGTAATCGAGGACTCGATCCGCGCCAAGGGATGCTACGTACTTCTGATTCCCAGCACCGGCGGTGGCATACACGGCGGCGAACGAAGAGTCGGGATCTTCTCGAAGCAGTCGGGCACTTTGCACGCCCATCGTGCCTACACTGGAGGAAGCACCCCAGATTAATAAGGCCTCTCTCTTTTCTTTCTTGTTTCTCTGGGTTCTTTCGGTGGTATCGGGGCTAACTGGGGCAGTGGAGACGGAAGAAGCAGTGGCTTCTCCCACTTGTGCAATCCCCATAACATGCCACGCGTTAAGGGGTACCTCAACAGCTACGGGCAAGGTTGCAGCTTCGTTCCAAGAAATACCCTCTGGAAGAGGCAAGGCGTGCTGCCAGGGGACGAGGCACCGCTCCTGAAAGGCGCCGTAGTCAGGGTCGCAGGACCTCCAAAAGGACGCAGCAAAGGCAGCGACTCGGGTTATTCCTGGTTGGAAGAAAGGGCCTGAACCCTCACCAGTAGGACCGACCGGGACGTTATCGCCGACCTCGAGGACTAGACCCGAGATGTCGAAGCCGATCACCGTGGGGTAGGTGGGTATGAAGAGGCCTTGATCACGCATATAACCATCTGCCGGGTTGAGGGCTACAGATTTGACCTCGATTAGGAGCTCATCTGGGCCTGGTTTTGGTGTAGACCGATGTTGGACCTTGAAGGGCTCACCTTTTGCGAGGGAGACGGCGGCGAGGTGGGTAGCCATTCTGGGCTGCTTAAATGAAGGATTTTGAGGTGTAAACTTTTGTGTGGACCGAGTCTGTCAAGGAATACCGCTCTTCTTATACAGCTTTCCCAGGTAACTAGACCTGTTTAACATGATATGTTTATAGATGGCCCCAGGGAAGCAGCCAATCAGAGACATCTGTATCCGACGAACAGTTAGCGTGGAGGAATATCCGAAAGAGGGTTAGCTTAGTTGGACCACCCTCCATCTATTCTGGATCTGGCATTGAATTCCATCAAACTCAGGAAAATCCCTCACAGCCAAGCCTCATAGCTTTGACTTGTTCAAGAGATATGGAGCGTAGGACTTTGCGGAGGTCGAGGTTTGGCTGCCGAAATTGCAAGCTTCGAAAACTCAAGGTGGGTGCCCCTAGGCTGTAAATAATCTGTGCTTGGCTGAATTTCATTCCACTAGTGCGACGAACACAAACCACAGTGCAAGAGATGTAGTTCGTTCGGGGTATTATGCAACTTCATATCTAACATCCCCGACCTCCAGCCTGTCGCCGCTGACACAGGGCGACCATTGGTGGTGCGAAGAAAAGCGGAGCTTCAGCCCCCTCTCACAAATGCTATCTGGACATCTGACGCATCCACGCGCTATCAATTGAACGCAAGATGTCAAGATTTTATAACCCGATATCTTGGGCGAAGTCTTATTACCCCGAACGACCCTAACATGATGCAAGTTAATCGCAAGCTTCTAGAACTAGCCTTTGTTGTAAGTTTTGAAATATGACTTCTGTTTTAGAAGACATAATGGACGCTGGATTGCCCATTATGAGTTCGCCTCGGCTAACATATGGTCTATAGTACCCTTTCCTAATGCATGCCTCTCTAGCCGTGGCGCTTACATACGACCGCCATCTGAACGGGTCCTTAAACTGTCGTCGTACTCTTGAAGAGTGTTATCACTGGTCTCAAAGCACAGTTCTTTTGAACAAGCGGCTAAGGGAACCAATTGAAACGAAAGATAAAGATCCAATATGGGGTACTGCGGCTGCTCTGGCTATCCTAACCCTCTCATCCCCTGATGCATGCACGCCGGAACAAGCATGGCCTCTCAAGTCCTCCTCCTCTGACCTGGACTGGGTGCGTATGAGCAAGGGTAAAATGTCATTGTGGAACACGGTTAACCCGCTGCGACCGGACAGCATTTTCAGTGTCATGGCAGCAACTTATGTTCAGATACATGCCCCATTGCCAGAGAGAGGTATAGAAGGTATACCAATAGCCTTGGCTGCCGTGTGTAACCTCACAGACTCTTCTACGGCTGAAACTAATCCTTATTTCCATTCCGCTCATGCGGTATCCCATATCTTGGACCTTCCAGATAGTGAGGTCACAACAGGTCCGAGTGAACTCTTTACGCGGAGTATCCATGGCTCTTTCAAAGACTTGCTCCGAAATAGAGACCCTGCAGCGCTATTGTTGATTTATCTATGGTACCGCAAAGCTAGTCGCAGTATATGGTGGATTGAACTTAGGGCGCGAGTGGAATGTCCTTCTATTTGCTTGTATTTGCGACTATATCATGGAGATAATCGTGCTGTACATGCATTTCTTCCAGGAGGAGCTCTCGCTGATAGGTGGAATTGTTAAATGAAGCACCACAGCTGTGGTCGATCCCTATTGCTGAATATATTATATCAAAGAGTTCTCTGTTATGTCCTACCATTATCAAGCCGTGATATTGAAGAAAGGGCATATTGAGCAAGTAATAGCTGTATCTATATCCCTGATTTCACCCTATACATTGGCCATCTACTATATGATTTCGAAGATTATAGCCCTTGAGATCTATAGAGTCGACGGGTAGTTATTTAAGGTTAAAGGTTCCAATAGTTCAGTAGGGTGGATCTTCCAAGGTTTGTTTCTGGATAGACAAGGCATAACATATTCTCCCCAGCTGCTATCCCTATATGAATTATTACTAGCCTGGAGCTTTTATCCTCGTGATATGACCTGTGGTCTAGGACTCGGGATTATAATTTTATCGATTAAGAATTTCCTAAATCGTTTCCAACTACAGAGATACTCCCGGGGCTCGATCTTGTTGCGTAACCTTGGGCCGAGGCCCGGCTCCAATGGTGGGATAAGGCCTCGACCAAGCTCTCTACATGGTACCGGTCCTGGGAGGGCAGCGACATGTATGAAGTTAAGCCGAGGCCGGAGCTGTTGCTCCGCCGTACAACCCTACACCGGTGGCTCGCGCTTAGGTCTGCCCACGGGGACTTTGCGTGGTACTACCGGAAGTTTGGCTATAAAGACGCAAAGGTTGTCTACGCCTGCGGACGCCTGAAGACCCCTGAACACCTCGCTATCTACTATAAGTCACGGAGGACATTCGGCAGGTAGCCCCGGCGGCCCCTAGCGCCGCCGGAGACTCAGAGGGAGGCAGTAGCCTACCTTCAGACCCTCGAACCGCAGGAGTTCGCGGAGCTCCTCCGGGTCACAGAGTTCTACTCTAAGCACTACATACGGTAGCGTTATTACCGCGCCGGGGCACCGGGGCCCCAGCCCTAGCAATCTCCTCTCACTCTTACTTTCCTCTTACTCTCACTTTCCTCTCACTCTTACTTTCCTTTCACTCTCACTTTCCTTTCACTCTCACTTTCCTCTCACTCTCACTTTCCTCTCACTCTCACTTTCCTCTCACTCTCACTTTCCTCTCACTCTCACTTTCCTCTCACTCTCACTTTCCTCTTACTCTCTTTCTCTCTCTTTTATCATCGCAGGCACTAGTGCCGCTACCACTATACGGCCACCGGCCGCCTAAGGGGGCCCTACCCCTAGGACCACCCCTAGCCGAGTCTTAAGCCAGTTACCAAGAAAACGCACGCCTATCGGCGGACATTAAGTAGGAGTTCTTCCCCCTGCCTTAAACCTACTACCCTATCTTAACTAGCGGAGAAGGACGCATAGCCAACTGATAAACCTATCACCACATTCGTTTGAACTGCCGTCTATAGCTGCACTTTATGTACATAAGATTCCATAGCTTGGCATGTCCACATGCCCCCTATGAGGCTACAGGGGCCTATGCCTCGACTGACGTTAAATACTACAACAACAACAACAACAAATTGTTGCGCAACCTACTGTAATTATGGGAGGGTATCTTAAGAAGTTGAAAGAATGTAGAATTATATGCGTAGATTACCATGCAACCCTCTTATATACGCCTTTTTCCACCTTTTTTTCCCGATATCATTTGTTTTCATCCGGAAGCGTCTAGTTTCTCCGGCCAACTATATATGATAGCATAGCAATGATGCCTACACTCGGATTTATATCGCCTACCGCCACTGTAAAGAAATTAGCATACTTATTTACGATATCTAACAAATGCTTTATATTAATAAACTAAAATTTGAAAATACTTATTCACAAGGTTTAGTAAATTTAGTAAAAAAATATTTCTAATAAAAATATTTCTTTTAGGCAATAAAGGTTCTGGAAAAGTTTATTTAATTTGAAATGCAATGAATTTAATATAAATACTCCGTACTCCGTACAAATAACATTGATGTATATTCTAATGTTGCACTCCGTATATTATTCTTTTTTTAAAATTATATTGTGTCCCAATCCGGTCAGTGGATCCTGCACCGTGTACGGAGTACCGCGGTTGAGAAAGGTCGTATGCTTGGGCCAACAGATCTTTCTTCTCCCAATCCGGTTAGTGTATTCCGCCCCCTGCACCGCGGTTGAGGAAAGTCACATGACCACAAATACCTACATACTTGCCCGGGCTAACAGGTCTTGCTCTTCTTTTCTTTCTTCTTCAGCTCTCTTTGCCTATTGGCTTAGATCAAGTGTAGTATCTGTTCTTTTCAGTTTAATCTCTGAAAGTTTCCGTCCAGGAAACACTTTGATTATTCCTATTTTTGGACCTCGTGACTTGGCCCCTGTGCTTGCGCATGCCTCGTCGCACAGTGTCATTTGGCTCACACTACCCCCGATAGACGCGACTCCCTTTTTCATCAACTGTTCGGCATGTCCGGGCGTTTGGAGAAGAAGTTTCGAATGTTTGACTTGTACTTTATATACACTGTTCCCTATGATCCTGTGTTGTTTTGAGTCACGTGTCTCCCTTCTGGTCTTGCCTAACCGGACCCGGAAGGCGGTCTGGGTTTTCTATAAAAGACACCCTATATTCATCCAGTCAATGCACATCCATGGATGTAGGCTACCTAATTACTACTCTATTACCTAATTTCCAACAGGAAAAGCCGCCTAGATATAAAATGAGACGGGGTCCATATTGTGACGCCATGATGATGCTACCAGTGTCATGAATATATAAACCACTTGCTTCTGCACTTCAGTCTCCAAGGTCCTCAGTTTTACCATACTTCTATACCATACTCCTACAAATAATCTACTACCACCCCACTTATTCCCCACATATTTCATCATGGGTTGCGGCTGCGGATCTAGTTGCAACTGCAATGGCGGTGCCCAGAGCTGCTCTTGCGGCGACAAGTGTGACTGCAAGGGATGCGGAGTATGTGATATCTGAAACCTGAAATTTGGGGATATCGCAAAGGCTAACCTCTCATTGTAGAAGTAAATCATTTCTCTACGACTCCGACTCTTGGATATGACACTCTTTGGTCAAGGATGATGAATATGGCTATAATTTGATGAGATAAATGAAGCTTTCGAGCATCAAAAATAAAATTGCATCTCTCGAATCAGAATTCAATTTCCAAATCTTTTCTGTCACATGTAGACCTCATCGTTTATCTTTCAATACTGCTTCGGAAGCTTTAAGCGCCCCCGTAATGCTAAAACATACAAAGGGCGACAACGCATACATGATCTGGATATAGTCAGCGAACTGTTATTTTCCCGTAAAAGCCATGGCTACATACCGTCAACGTTTTTGCAATAACCATCTTTTCCATCTCAGACGCCTGTGCCAGTTCTGCTAACCCAGAAATCACCAGTGCTGGTGGACCAGCAGGCATCAGCATCATACTAAACCAGAGCATCGGATCGTCACCAAGCAGATGAGTTCTCTTAGCTAGGCCATAGATGAGTGAAACACTCAACGCCGGCCAGGCCACCAAACGAACGATAAAGATAGTCGTGATAGCCTTGACTGGAATCCGGGCCGAATTCCCTTCTGCGACCATTCGCTCGAAAGTGATTCCAAGCTTACAGCCAACCATGAAGATTTGCAGCGTCGTAAACAGCTCGCCAATGTTGCGGATGCTTGCAGTCAACCACGCATTAAATACCCCACCATCTTCCTCGTCAAAGAAAAATGCTCGGTGCAACGAAGGGACTAGTCCCAGCACCGTACCGAGAATCGTGCAGATTATTGCCACGTCGGCGAATGGGGATTCGAAGGGCGCGAGGAGTTCCTGCTTGACTCGGCGGGGGAATAATGAGCCGAGCCAGTGCATCGGTCGCCGGATTAGGTTCCCGGCTGATGTTCGGGCTTGCTGAGCGCGTTGCGGGAGTAGTGAAGTTTCTTCGGTGAGTTGTTCGTCCTCTGCTAGAATGCTTGCGGTGCGATCTCGCTCCTCTGGGCTACTGAGGTTATCTCCGCGATCATATAACATCTTCGGTCCAACGATATACGCGATAGTCTTGCTGATCACGCCGCAGACAAGGAAGTAACTCTGAGCACGGTCGACTGCTGATGAGGCGGTTTCGCCATTTCGTAGGATCAATTTCAGACTTCCTACGCTCTGGAGGGAGTGGAGTAGTAACAAGGGTAGAGATGTGGTGTTGTTGAACGTGCAAGCCGGTGTTACCCATTGAGGCAGGCTGAGAAGACGCGATAAGAAATGCACAAGGCCAATCGACGCTGATGTGTAGAAGATCGACCAGACTAGTAACGACAGATAGACGCGATAAGTCAGCTATGCTGGGTGCATCAAGGGTCGCCATGATATACTTATGACTGGAATATAGTTCGTCGCCGTCTCGAGGCGAAGCTCCTCGCCCAAATGCACGATTAATAGGGCTGGTAGGAGGAGTTTCACGCCTAATCCCAACATGTCATTGATTGTCGTCTCGTGAATCAACTGGAGCCGACGAGCAGCAAAACCATAGCACATTGTCAATAGGACGGAAACACAGGCTTGTAGCGCACCCAGGAAGGGTACCACTAAACCTTCGTTGGGCATTTTGCTTCAAATGGCTGACACTTTCAGTTCCATAAGTTCTCAGTCTCAAGAAGAAATGTTTTTGATTTCAATGACCATAGCGTCATAGTGACATAGTGAAAACTACAATTTCTACGTTCTTCGCGATACTACAAGAGTTGCCCAATATCGTCAAGTATAGAGCCCGTTAAACAACGGTTATTGTTATATCTATATCATTTTCACAGAGACAAGCGAATATTCGGCCTTCGGTGGAGTCCACCACCGAGTAAACGGGGAATTCCCCGTGGGGTGCTATAAAGCAGGGGATACCAGGCCTAATTGGCTGCATCTAGTCCCAACTTCGCGTTATAGAGTAAATTTCCATAGTAGCTCAGTGCTTCACAGTCTACATGCCAGAAACACTAGAATTGAAACAAATACGACAACAATGACACTCCTCTAAGACAAATTGGCCATTCAAATGATGTGGGGGGCCTCGGGTAATCGGTCGGAGGAAGGCCGAGATGTCCCCTCTTGAGTAAACAACATAAAGAAGATGGAAACACCTTCTGTTCTTCACCTGTTACACGACTTCTTATATATCTTAAATAATGTCTTCCATCACACTCCGCTCAGCCCTGGAAACCACACCAGTGGCATACGGCTTCTGGTTGACGTATGTTTACTCCCCGCATTTGGAGAGGGGCAGCTCTATCTTGATTCCTCAAAGCTCTATCCAGGAAGGAAACCAGACTAATAGGCCTCCTACTACAGCCTTCCCAGTGCCCCCGTCGCAAAGACTATCCTCCGTCGCAGTCCCGAGTTTACAGAAGGTGGATTCAGCTGGGTCCTAGTTGACGCAGAACATGGATTGATTACCGACACCCACTATTACGAGGTTCGTCCTTCAACTAGTGAATCGAGCTGGAAAATCCAATTGTTAATAATACACCCAGCTCACTAATGCCGTTGGCCTCGAGGGCGCTAGTCCTATTATCCGTGTGCCCTGGCCCGAAGAGTGGATGATCAAGCGTGCTCTTGATGCCGGCGCCCACGGAATTATGACTCCTATGTGTCACTCTGCAGTATGTATAACCGAGATTGTTGCGTTTGCGTGTTTCTTGATTTCTTCAGCACTATACTAGATGCTAACCTCTACCTATCTACCAATAGGAGGACGCTGCCAAGGTCGTTAGCTACTGCAAGTACCCGCCTGTCGGAGTCCGTGGATACGGGCCCATGTTTACTCCCCATTCATTCCCCGGTTTGAAGCCCGCCGAGTACGATGAAAAGACGCACGACGAAGTAATGGTCATTGTGCAAATTGAGTCGCGTCCTGGTGTTGAGAATGTAGAGGAAATTGCGAAGGTCGATGGACTTGATGTGCTGTTTATTGGTGAGATTGGATATTTCGGTGGATTTAGGCAACTAGCTAATATTTCTTCTTAGGACCCTTTGATCTTGCTAAGCAGATGCGTGTCACCCGCGGTGGCGAAGAACACGAGGCTGCTATTCAACGTGTTCTGAATGCTGCCAAATCTGCAGGAAAGAAGGCTGCTATCTTCTGTATGTGTTGTGTTATTTGCTGGTCTTGCTTACCATTTTCTAACTTGGATTCCTAGGCTCCAATGGCGATGATGCTCTTCGCCGCGCACAGCAGGGCTTCGATATGGTTTCCATCACTACTGATGTTGCTGTCTTCGGTGACGGGATGCTCAATGAATTGGAGAAGGCCAAGGGAAGTTCAAAGGTCCAAGGAAAGCGGGATGGTTATTGAAACCTCTCGATATTATATTAACGATGTGTACACAGTAGTAACGCAATGAATTTAAACTATATTATGACACTGCGCTGTCGTTCACTTGCTCTCCTTCATTCTATCTCATTCAACCCTCGTATCAAACGTTGGCTTCTTCGCCACCTTCACTTTGCAAGTACCTCGTTTCACTGACTAGATAGTTTCGTTTTCCTCGATATGACAACAAAAAGTGAGGCTGCAATACCTCCCTAGATGAGCTGATCTAGTAATCCCGATCCCGTGATATGGCGCTGTCTTGGCACCTATGTCTTCCTATGGAGCATGGAAAATACAACATCCATTTACATCCTACATAGCCTGGATAATTTCCGCTTGAGAGTTATTTTTTAAATAAGTGTTATAACATGTTTCCATATGTTTCCCCTTCACTACTACTACTTAACTGACCTATATTGTGATCAATGGGAAATATTGCCTAATGCGGTTGATGCGCTAGTCCTTTTTTGTCGACAAGTGCTAATATGCCCAGGTGAATTAGCCACAAATGTGGTACGTGTTTGTTTCATCTACACATACTCTTCTTCATTCTATCACTTGTTGGTAAGATGGCCGAGTTGGTCTAAGGCGCCAGGTTAAGGTATACCTTAACTCCACAACTAGCAATAGTTTCCTGGTCTCGCAAGAGGCGTGGGTTCGAATCCCACTCTTATCATACTAGTCTTGGCACCTCCGTGTGTCTGTCATTTTTGCTTGTTTTTTTTTGGCTTTCATTGAATGATCTAATGAGCTGCATTGGTCTCTTGATAAACAAGCTTTAATGTTGGGGTGACCATCGTCGCATCCTTTGGATTTCCTTTCTGTCTCTTCGATCCATCTGTTCGATTTCTGTGTTGGGTCCTTGACAAACTGGACATTGCCGACGGCCACTTCATTGCACAGTCGATGAAAGTGAACAGCAATGTGCTTCATAATTGCGTAAAATCCGTAATCGATGCAAGAGCAATTGCTCTGTTGTTATCAGCATAAATGGGAATAGGCTTCATTAAGAAACCTTCAATGCCAAGTTCAATAAGCAATTGTGAAAGCCAGATAGCTTCCTATACCACCAAAGCCTCTGCACTGTAAATCTAGCAAACAAATTAGCAAACTAGCAGACAGCATGGCAAACAGCAGGGTTGATATCCCAACACAAGTATTACTGCCACAGACAGTGAGCCCAGTGGACATCGGCCTAATTTCCCACGTGGAGTGCACTGATGAGTTGTCGCTTGCTGCCACGGCAGTCGTTGCTCAGAGAACTGTGTCTGCTACCCAATTTGGGTACAAAGGTCATTCCGGTCAACATGGATACTGTTGACTTTACCTTCCACACTGGAGTCACCGACTCAGAATGGTGCTTCGATGCTGAGGATTCTATTTCCAAATCTAGATGGTACTTAGCCACCCCAAACAACTTGTTTGGTTTGGACGCCGAAAACGCATGGCTGGGTGTATTTGGTATCATCGAGTGGTGGTTTGAGCATGTGGATCTGGAGTACTACGAGGATGTTGATGATTACATTGAGTCAAGCTCTGATGAAGCGGAAAGTGAGGATTGACAAATGTTTGATTATCTATTTCATACCATGATGTCGGGTATCATCTTGAGGAATATCTCCGGTCGTCATATTTAGTCAGTCGCCAGATTCCTGTCTACAAGAGGTATGCTAATCGACTTAGAGAATGGGTTTTGTTCAATTTTGATTTCCAACCTGAAATAGGTGACCTGTGATTGATATTCTCCATCAGGCTAAGATATACACATGAAGTACCTAAATCAAGCTTCAACCATGAAGAGCTGCGAAGGAACCATCCTCGCCGCAAAGACAAAGCCCATACTTAAAGTGGCTACTGCGGTAAAAGCTGCCAGAAGACCTAATTGCGCCAGACTTTCAATGCCGCGTTTCTCGAATTTAGTACTTCTTCGCTGGCCCAAACGAGTAGTGCGAGTAAGAGTAGGCACATATTTAAACTCAAACAGCGACTCTTCCCCAAGTCCTGTCTTCTTATCGAGGATAAGACTGTAAAAACGCTTTCGGCGGAGCTGGTGAAGATTTTCGTTAGAAAATATGAAGATATGAAAACTTGTGGATAGTTTCACATACTGAAATCATCATCCTGTCAAGGAAATATATCTTTGGTACGATGTATGAAAAACCCATAACCCAGAAACAATATCCCCAGATCAACATCCGATAGTATAGATTAGGTCGAGGAATATCAAGCTCGTCGGAGAGTTGATCTCCATTGAGTAGTCGACTCATTGCTTCCATGAATTCCTTGGATGCAAATGCCGGCGCTGTATTCTCCAGGCCAATAATGATATTCTTCGCCAGGACCTTTCCTGTCTCAGTGGGATCGATCTCAGAAACTAGAAGGGATTCCATCATAGCACGAGCCTTCGCTGTGTTCTTCAACGGGTCAGTAGGTGTGCCCATATAATATGCAACTAGCCTCCATAGTGCGATATAGTCCTCGGTCTCTTGCTGGCTGAGGTAGATGCCCTGTCGCGGAAGACCAAGCCATACCACTGAGCTGCAGAATGTGTTGATAGTGCCGATGCAATCTAGGTCATTAACTGGCGTTCCGTATTTATTGACGTCGTAGTATTCTGGGTTCTGGTCTACCAAACTTAGGATCCTCTTGCGAACAGAGGAATGAAGCAGTCGGACACGAACACATGAGATGTGGCCGTCCCCACCTGGCTTCATGCCTTCCACTGAGTTGTTAACCTGAAGGATATGCTGAAGCGTCTCGAGTAATCGTCGGCGTACCACTTTAGCTCCGAAACCACCGGTTCGCGAAAGGGTTTCGACAACTCGTATTGCACCCCTGGATAAAGAAATGGTTAGTTCTTGTTTGGCACTATTGTCAGGAAGGGGAAATATGCTCTTACATTCCACCAAGTAAGCTTTCAAAGTTGAGCTATTGGGAGGTCAGCCCTTATCCCAACCTAGTAAACGTACTTCATGTGTTCAACTCACAACATTGAGAATCGGAAGGCCATATCGGAAAAAAACATCCTGGGCCCGTTGGATTTGATCCCAGTCAACCCACTCCGGAACTGTATTGATTTCAGTCCAGAGTTCGTTAAGCTTTGGATCCTTCTCCGCATGGTCCCTCAGTAAGCCATAAAGATCCTTCTTGAAAGGCCGTTTATCGGCGCCATCGTCTGTGGAAGGAATTCTGTTCAAGCGATCCACACATTCGTCGGCTAGGGAATCGTAGCTGTGTATCAACGGCTTGAAGTCAGCAGCAGAGGTGTGGAGGTCAGTCCAATGAAAGGAGTAACCCCAGTAGTGACATTCGGTACTATTTCCACTCTTAGCACTCTTGAAAGACATTATGGTGAACTTAGAACACAAGTGTGAATATTATATTAAGATGAATAAAAGCATTTCTATATATCCGAATCATCCAAGAGTGTTGCCGTGGTCCACGGTTAAGAGGAGAGGGGTTAGGGCAATGACATGTGAACTCCAGGGCTTCAGCCACTTACATGTCAAATGTTATGTTCACATGGCTCTTGGACTTTTTAAGATATTATTGGGGATATGCCATGCTTTCAACTTTTCACATCATACCAAGACTCTACATAACGGATCAGGTTATTATTTTAGCCACTTTTATGAGGCTGAGACTCGGGATATTATATTCTAATCCGGGCTCAGGCTGCCTAGGCTCAAGACTGTAACTGTAGACATTTGGGATGGAAGTTTGACTTATGTTATGAGTTTATCGACTCGGTGTAACTCACTTTCAATATATACCTTTATGTGCTGCCAGGCCGATAGCTAGAAAGTGGTCACTAGTCTCTATGTTTTGAATCTCGCAAAGGAGGGTTTCAGCGTGATAGTATCATCTGTCCCGAGAGTGACATAGGACAGACTATCGATTGCCTCCTGGAAGATGAGCTAGAGTATATTGAGAGGATCTCGCATTTGGTAAGAATAAGATCCCGAGTCTGGACCAATTCAAATGGATAAATACAGAGGTTACTGAGGAAATTACCTAGGGTGTTCAGATGACTAGATTAGTGCAGTCAAGCGGCAAAGCCCAGAAGGAACGCCAAGAGGAAATCAACGTGAGACTGTCTTTGAATCCAACGTGTTTTAGAATCCTGCTAATGGCTTTGTATACTGACTTTCTTTGTTCTCATTCTACATCCTTTGGTCCTTTGAGGTTTCATTCCTCAATTCAATGACTTGGTAGCTGTCTAGGCACTAGTTATAAAGACTGCGACTTTCGCTCGTAGACAATGCTTTCTGCGCAATTTCCAAACCCCTTGGACAGACCAATAGCAATGGAGCCAAGGCCAACCATCAAGTTCAAGCTGAATGGGATATCTAGATCCGGCGCTGATATCGATAGCTTGGAACTTCAAGCTTGCTATCGCGCTCTCGACAACCTGCGGTCCTTATTGTTTCAAGCACCGATGCTGGATCTTCTAAAAGACCAAATCGAGGAAGGAAACAACTATTTTGAATTGCTGATTCGAGCCTCTCGGGGAGAATTCAGAGAATGCAGAACATTCATGAAAGTAACTGGGGTCTCGGCGACAGAAATGAGTACAATCTGCAGCCGTTGGCAGCTCTCCCAGCCCCTCGACGAGATGGCAAGAAATTTCGTATTTCCAACGCACCCCGAGAACTATGTGGTCATGTATTCGCCAAAAGCCCCCGCTAGAAGTGGGCCAGACTGCGGGGTGGAGCTCATCGGGGAGCATATGGCCAAGGTTCGATTTGTTGATCTCACGGATAGCGGAGAGATTCCCAAGTGGATGGCAAAGGAGCGAGATGAGGCCTATGAAATGGTAGAGTGCTTGGTCGCAAAACTTGACAGTGGGAGTAAGTTCTTCTATATCATGAATGAATTCATGGATACCCAGGGGGGTTGTAATATCAAGCTACGGGCCTTTTTCCCTTCTGCTTCACCCTGGTCACTGATCAATGGGCATGCTGAACATCTCGCGATTGAGTTTCGAAATCTCCTCCAAATGGTGTATGGGGCCATCGAGGAACTTGAAGACAGCTATTGACCAGTTTTGCGACCGAGATATGACATCATTGAAAGCATTCTGTACTAGATAGCATGATTATTCTAGATCGTCAGTTGCGTGGCTTGAATAATTTCCTGCAATGCAAGCATTAGTGGATTGATTTTCACAGCTGTTCCAAGGTCATTATAGAGTAGATGCCGTGGAGCTCATCGAACTTGTAAGATGAACCAGGTGTGCATTGATTTAGTGGGGAGAGAACCAAATAGAAAGATTTTTTGTAAGACCGTAGAACACTACACCGTAATGTGTGTGATAGGGGAAAAAAAAGCCACAGGTATTACAAGCCAAGCTGAAAGATCGGCTTGCATGACCGCGATTCCGCGGGGAAGAGGCCGAGGATTGGACGAAGAGATCAGGGGGACTCCACGGGGGCTTAAAATCGAAATCCAGTTCAAACACCTGTTTGCAATTCAAAGCGAATGCTAGGCTTGGGAAGACCTCGATTGAGAGCGCGGGCATCGTTGTTGGATCTGATAACCACAAAGCATACGTTGACACAGCCATCACCGCCCGCCGAGCTGCCACCGCTTCCAGACTCGCCCTCCTCAACTACCTCCACCCAATCTGTGTCTCCCCATTCCACACAGGCTTCTTCCATTATGACTTCAGACGATTCTGAGAACCATGGCGCGATCTTTTCGGTCTCCGGCCCTGTCGTCGTGGCCGAGAACATGATCGGTTGTGCTATGTACGAGTTGGTAGGCAGCCCTTCGAGATCGTGGAGAACCCCAGATACTGACCCCATAGTGTCGTGTCGGTCATGACCTGCTTGTTGGTGAGGTTATTCGAATTGAGAAAGATAAGGCCACGATTCAGGTTTACGAGGAAACAGGTAGAGCTCCGCTGCCCCCCAAAGCTGTATGATTTCATACCCCCAAAGAGCTATGCTGACCGAGGTTACTGTTGAACAACAGCTGGTTTGGCTGTCGGAGACCCGGTGACAAGGACAGGAAAGCCTCTTTCAGTCGAGCTGGGCCCTGGTCTGATGGAGACGATCTACGACGGTATTCAGCGACCCCTCAAAGCCATCGCCGACCAATCGAAGAGTATCTACATCCCCCGTGGTATTTCGGTGAATGCTTTGGACCGTGAGCGGAAGTGGGAATACAAGCCTACTACCTTCAAGGTCGGTGATCACATCACTGGTGGTGATATCTGGGGTTCCGTGTTCGAGAACAGCCTGGTGAACGACCACAAGATCCTGCTGCCTCCTCGTGCACGGGGTACCATTACTCGGATTGCTCCTGCTGGAAGCTACACCGTTGACGAGAAGCTGCTCGAGGTGGAGTTCGATGGCAAGAAGTCCGAGTTCGGTATGATGCAGACCTGGCCCGTCCGTGTTCCTCGTCCGGTCAGCGACAGACTGTCTGCCGATGCGCCCTTCATCGTCGGCCAGAGAGTGTTGGATGCTCTCTTCCCCAGTGTTCAGGGTGGTACTGTCTGCATTCCTGGTGCCTTCGGATGTGGAAAGACTGTCATTTCACAGAGTGTGTCCAAGTTCTCAAACAGTGATATCATCGTTTACGTTGGCTGCGGTGAGCGTGGTAACGAGATGGCTGAAGTCTTGATGGATTTCCCCGAGGTACTACATGCTTTCCCAAACTTACTACTATACCATTTTACTAACTGCCGTTCTTTCCCAGCTCTCTATTACCGTCGACGGCCGCAAGGAGCCTATCATGAAGCGTACCTGCCTGATCGCCAACACATCCAACATGCCCGTCGCCGCCCGTGAGGCCTCCATTTATACCGGTATTACTATCGCCGAATACTTCCGTGACCAGGGCAAGGACGTGGCTATGATGGCAGACTCCAGTTCCCGTTGGGCTGAGGCTCTGCGTGAGATCTCTGGTCGTCTGGGTGAGATGCCTGCTGATCAGGGTTTCCCCGCATACCTGGGAGCCAAGCTGGCGTCTTTCTACGAGCGTGCTGGCAAGAGCAGTGCTTTGGGTAGCCCCGAGCGTGTGGGTAGTGTCAGCATCGTCGGTGCTGTCAGTCCCCCCGGTGGTGATTTCTCCGATCCTGTCACTAGCAGTACCCTAGGTATTGTCCAGGTGTTCTGGGGTCTCGATAAGAAGCTGGCGCAGCGCAAGCACTTCCCCTCCGTCAACACCTCCATCTCCTACAGCAAGTACAACGCAGTTTTGGATAAATATTATGAGAAGGATCACCCCGAGTTCCCTCGTCTCCGCGACCAGATTCGTGAACTCTTGGCCAAGTCCGAGGAACTGGACCAGGTCGTCCAGCTTGTCGGTAAGGCGGCACTGGGTGATTCGGATAAGATCACCCTGGACGTGGCCAGCTTGCTCAAGGATGATTTCCTCCAGCAGAACGGATACAGTGACTACGATCAGTTCTGCCCCTTGTGGAAGACTGAGTACATGATGAAGGCGTTTATGGGCTACCACAACGAGGCCCAAAAGGCCATTGCTCAGGGTCAGAACTGGAACAAGGTTCGTGAGGCCACTGCCGATCTTCAGAGTGCTCTGCGTGGCATGAAGTTCGAGGTTCCGCACGACGAGGCAGAGATCTCGGCCAAGTATGAGAAGATTCTCCAGTCTATGACTGAGCGATTCGCCTCTGTTTCGGACGAGTGAAAGTGACATCTTAGCTTAGCATGTATTTTCCTTTAGAAGTTTGTTTGAGCACATTCCCCTGTAGTTATTGTGTCCAACTTGATTTTTTTTTCATTTTCATTTATCCTTGACTGTATAACTTCCTGATTGTACATGTGGCCCGTACGTGTCAGGCAGCACAAGACTTTGGACACATGACCAAAGATTATAGTTATGTTATTTGACTGGTAGGAATACTTCGTTTCTTTAAAATATCTAACCTATAGTACAATTATATTCTTGTGCCTATTTTTGCCTGGAGCCTACGTAGGCAGCTCTGGAGACCGCTCTGGACGCCACTACATCACCGCCTTCCGAGACCAAACAATCCACTTAACATCGTACACCTCCCTACGGTTGTGCTTCATTTCAACTTCTCTGTTGTGTCTCGTTTTTCTTGTCTTTTAATTCCTTGCCTAGAAGCAGTTTCTCATATCTCACATCGCCAGCCATGGCAAGCCCCACGACCGGTCACTCGTGCGCAAACCCCTGTCCCTTTCCGATGCGGTCTGGCTAATCTCCGTGCAGCATAAATGTCAATGACCCCAGTTTGATTTCACTGGTCAACAAGCTTCAAGATGTCTTTTCCACAGTCGGTGTATGTATATCTACTCAGAGCACACAGATCAATTGTGATTCCAGGGGTACCACGTGTGCTAACATCGCTCGCTTTAGGTCCAAAACCCGATCGATTTGCCCCAAATTGCCGTTGTCGGATCACAGTCCAGTGGAAAGAGTTCAGTGCTAGAGAATATCGTTGGCCGCGATTTGTATGTTGGTTGTTTTCTAAGCTTGCGCAGCCCCCGTCCACATCTCCCGTGGCGGGGCATGCGACACGATGTCAACAATAATTGCTAACTAAGTTTTTGTCTTGCAGCTTGCCTCGTGGCTCAGGAATCGTGACTCGGAGACCTCTTATCCTGCAACTGATCAACAAAACCACCACGACAAATGGTGAGACCAAGTTGGAGACAACGGACAGCGAGTCCAACGTGAACGAGTATGGTGAATTCCTGCACCTCCCCGGGGAGAAGTTCTACGATTTCAACAAGATCCGGGATGAGATCGTGCGCGAAACAGAAACCAAGGTCGGAAAGAATGCCGGCATCTCGCCCTCCCCGATCAACCTGCGTATCTACTCCCCCAACGTCTTGACTTTGACCCTCGTCGATCTGCCCGGTTTGACCAAGGTGCCCGTCGGAGATCAACCGAAGGATATTGAGAGACAGATCCGTGATATGGTTCTCAAGTATATCAGCAAGCCCAACGCAATCATCCTAGCAGTCACTTCGGCCAACCAAGATCTTGCGAACTCCGATGGTCTAAAGCTGGCGCGTGAGGTGGACCCTGAGGGTCAGCGCACCATTGGTGTGTTGAGTAAGGTCGATCTGATGGACGAAGGAACTGATGTGGTGGATATTCTCGCTGGACGAATTATTCCCTTGCGCCTGGGTTATGTGCCGGTGGTCAACCGTGGTCAGCGTGACATTGAGAACAAGAAACTCATTGCTTACGCCCTAGAGAACGAGAAGAACTTCTTCGAGAACCACAAGGCATACCGTAATAAGGCCTCCTACTGCGGTACGCCGTATCTGGCACGGAAATTGAACTTGGTACGAGTTAGCCCCCAATCGTCTCGGAGACCTTTGAACTAACAGACTTCCCCTTTTTAGATCCTTATGATGCACATCAAGCAAACCCTGCCCGATATTAAGGCCCGCATTTCCGCCTCTCTCCAGAAATACACCGCAGAGCTAGGGCAACTAGGTGACTCTATGCTCGGCAATAGCGCCAACATCATCCTGAACATCATCACTGAATTCAGCAACGAGTACCGTACAGTCCTGGAGGGAAATAACCAAGAGTTGTCCAGCATCGAGCTGTCTGGTGGTGCTCGTATTTCCTTTGTGTTCCACGAACTCTACTCCAACGGTATCAAGGCTGTCGATCCCTTCGACGTCGTGAAAGACATCGACATCCGGACCATCCTTTACAACTCGTCCGGTTCCTCACCCGCACTATTTGTTGGCACCACCGCCTTCGAATTGATCGTCAAGCAACAGATCAGGCGCCTGGAAGAGCCTAGCTTGAAATGTATCTCGCTGGTTTACGACGAGTTGGTGCGCATCCTGAGCCAGCTCTTGACCAAGCAGCTGTTCCGCCGCTACCCCATGCTGAAGGAGAAGTTCCACGCCGTCGTCATTTCCTTCTTCAAGAAGTGCCTTGAGCCCACCAACAAGCTGGTCAAGGACTTGATCAACATGGAATCCACCTACGTGAACACCGGCCACCCCGATTTCCTGAACGGACACCGCGCCATGACTCTCGTCAACGAGCGTCAGGCAGCAGCCAAGCCTACACAGG